ATATTAAGGTTTCTTACTGTCTTAGTTACTTTTCTCATTGCTGAGACAAAGTACTCAAACACCCAAAGTAAAAGGATGAAAGGTTTATTAAGCTCACAGTTTGTAGAAGTTTCAGTTCATAGTTGGCTGGCTCCAAGGCAGGGTGACATGGCAGGAGGGGCATTGTAGAGGAGAAACAGTTCATGGCAGGCAAAAGGCAACAAGCAAACCACCACAGCAATCCTCTTGTCCCTTATATTCTTATCCAGGCTATACTGTCAGTCAATCTCAGATTCACATCCTTGATCCCAGTATTGCACAGCTTAGATCCAGCCACCTCTGAAAAGCCCTACCTATGATCAAATGAGGCTTGAGGCAGACATCCAGACATAAGCCATAACATTCCACCCCTGGTCCCCTAAAAACTCATGCTCATCCCTTTATGCAAAAGGCATTTAGTCCATCTCTAAGAGTTGCTGGAGTCCCGTCAATTTCAACATTGCTGAAAGGTGTAAGTCCAAAATCTCTCAGATTGAAGGCAACCTTTTAGCTTCCAACCCCTTTACAAATGAAAAGAAAGTTAAACACTTCCAACATTCAGTGGCACAAGATAGACATTTCCATTCCAAAAGTTACAAACAGGGATACAAAGGAATGAGACAAAAGGAAGTCCAAAATCCAGCAGGGCAAACATTAAGTTCCATAGTTCCATGTCCAGCATCTGAGGCAATTGTGGCAAGATGTGAACTCCAAAGGGCTGGCTGATTCTGCCCCTATAGCTAGTAGCTATAGCTTCCATAGCTTTTCTCCTGGGCTGGTTCTGCTCCCTCCTTTGGAGTTTTCCTCAGACGATATATGTTCCTGGCTTCTCCAAACTTCTGGGGTCTCCAGTGCACCACATTGCCCTCCCAGGGGCACACTGCCTAGCCTCCCAAGCTTTCTCTGAAATCTGGGTGGAAGCCTCCCTGACCCCATAACTCATGCATTCTGTATGCACCTAAAACCAGCACCATGTGGATGATGCCAGGGTCTGCTGTCAGTTGGAGCAGTAGCCAGGCTTCCTTCTCTCCTGGCTATAAGAGTTGAGTGCCTATGAACCCAATCCCAAGGAACAAATTCCCTAGGCTGCCACCATTGTGGAACATAATGCTCTGGGGCTGTCTTAATGCAAAGTCACTTTTGCAATTTTGAGGCTACAAAGGGTGGAGTCCTGCTGGTTCTTGGTTTTCAGGTCATCTTTTCTATTGTACTCTTTCAAAATACTTGGCTTTTTCTTGCTAATCTTTTCAGCCACCAGTTTCTTCTCTGTTCCATTTTAGTGAGTGGCAATTTTACTGGAGCTTCCTTTCTTGCCAAACTCATAACATTTTAAACCATTCTGCTGGGCTCTTTGCTCTTGATTCTCAACACAAATCTGGCTAAAAGCTCCCAACAGTAGCCATGCAGCAGCCTCAACATTAGACTGCCTTGAAATTTCTTTTCCAAAGTTAGTATGCTGCCCTTAATCTCAGTCTTGGGCAGAGTCTCCTGACATGAGCAAAATACAGAAAAAAAGGCATAACATATGCTGTCTGGAGTCCAACAGCCAATACAGTCCTTCCCAGCAGAAATCTGAGCCTAGTCTTTACCGGCAGCATTTCTATCAGCATTCTGGTCCTCTGAGCTCTGACCTGAATCTCCCATCAAGTACAGCCTCAGGCATACCAGGACTACTTCAGCTGGGAACTCTTCCACAAGCCAGTCCCGAAGGCTCCTGAACAACAGGGTCAAGTATAGTCACAGCATCAATCCCACTTACCTGGTAACAAATTCTAGTTTAGTTACTTTCTCATTGCTGAGACAAAATACCCAACACCAAAGTTAAAGGAGGAAAGGTTTATTTAGCTCACAGTCTGTAGAGGTTTCAGTCCGTAGTTGGCTGGCTCCAAGGCTGGGTGGCATGGCAGAGGGGCATCACAGAAGAGAAGCATTTCATGGCAGACAGAAGACAGCCAAATCAGCAAGCAAGTGACCAGCAGCACTTTCTGTCTTTTATATCTTACCTAGGCTACCCTTGGGGCAGGTAGCACTTACACCTTTAATCCTAGCACTAGTGAATCAATCCCAGCATCACATCCTTGATCCTAGCAGCATACTCTATAGATCTAGCCACCTCCAAAAGGCCCCACCTATGACTGCAAGAGGTTTTGGGGGAATATCTAGATACAAGCCATAACACTGCACTTTGTTTTCTCCAAAAAGACTAAAATCAAAATTAAGTACAAGTACTAAAAACTTGGGTTGTAGTATTTTAATGTGGGAACATGTCCATAGTTCTTATTTTCATTCTTTGTTTTTTTACTTAGATTCCCAGCACTTTAAAAGATTTTTTTTGAAATTCTGAGAGCCTCATTCACTGAGTAACTGGGCTTAAATTTGCAATCCTTCCTCAGCCTCTCAGTGCTGGGATTATAGGCATGCACCATCATGCCCTGTTTAGATGGCATTTTTATTCAAGAGTTTCATGGTTGTCAGTAGATTTGAGTTTTCATTTATTTTTCTTCCTATCTCCATATTGATAAATTGTTTCACTATAAAAACCATATTGGATAATTTTATGTGCTTTATCTTAAAAAGTTACAGATTCAGTATGTATGTATGTATTTAGCAAAGCCAGGGATTGAACTCAGGGCCTTATACATTGATTACTCTGCCAACACTCTAATACTGGGTTATATCCCCAGCCTATCTTCAATTTTTGAAGATGAAGAAATTTAACATTTAGTACCTCCTTTATATAGGTACTATAATGAATCTCAGTGGCCTTATAGAAGGCGAAAGTTTTTCCATCTGAGAGCTGAATAGAGAGTTTTAGAAAGTTTAGGTCATTTACCCAAAGCTTTACACTTGGAAGTCTTGGGACAGGAATTCCCAACTGTCACTTGCCACAAATCTCCTGAGACCCTGGCAAGTATCTACCAGGGAAAGTAGCACTGCCAGTTTTCTCATTAGAGAAGTCAAAATCCAAGGCCAAAGGCATGAATTAAAGTTTGGGGATATTGTGTAAGCCCTTTTGGCCCCTACCTTTGCCATTTCTTCCTTCACACCCTTGGGTCAATGCTTCTTCAACATTTCTTTGCACCTCAGTGAAAACCACCTATTTTCTGTTTTCTCCTTAGCTCTTGAGCCCTTGATACATCTGAACATTTCTGTCATCTGCTCACTCCTCAAATACCTTTTCTGTAGTCCTGCGAGTCCTTTGGTGGGTGATCTGTTCCCCCTCCCTCTTTGTTTTCCTTTCTGAGCACAAATCTTCAGCCAAGTGCTTCTGGTTTGCTCACTGCCATTACCTGGTGTGTTCAGGCTTGCTCTCACCTTGTGGTCTACTTTTCCATGATTTTTTGGCTTTCCCTCTTTTTCTGGTTGTCCATCATGTGGCTCTCCCTTGTCCTCAAACTTTCTTTTTTATGCTGGCTTGCCCTTCCCTTTTAGCTTTTCCTTGTCTGGCTTCATTTTCAGACTACTTTGATGTTCTGGCTTCTGTGTTCCAGTGTTCCTTTATTTTCACTGTAGAGTTTTTCTATGTTGAAAATTCCCTTCTGTTTCTTGTCTTGCAAGTGATTCTGGGCAGGTTGCTCCTTCTTTTCAGACTAGAGGGCTGGGAACCACAGACACAGATCTGTGAGGACATGGTACAGGCCTGCACCTTCTCAGCTTCACAGAAGCCCACTTGCTCCTCATCACCCAGGGCAGTGTCCTATCATGTACATTTTAATGTAGTTAGATAAAATTATTGGAAAATAATAACGTTAAGGGATGAATTTCATTCTGATTTTTCTTTATGATAATAGATTTTCCTTTATGATAAAAGATAATTCCTTTAATAGTTCCTTGCAGTGGGATAAACACCCAAATATAAGGGGTAGGCAGGTTAGGTGAATAACCACAGCAGGAAAAGTATAAGTTTTAGTGAGTGTGATGGGTATATAGGAAGCTGGAGTGAGTGAAAATTGTTTATCAAAAGGTGGCCATTTCCAGCTGAGCATTCCCATGTTGTTAGTCATATTTTTCCAGAGCAACTGAAACTCTGAATTTTTGTATTAAAATGTTGGTAGAATTTTGTCATTTTGACATTATGGGGGCCAGACAGCTGCTGACTAGATTAGGAAGACCATCAATGTAAGATTTCTTCCCATGGCCAAATGTTGAAGGCAGTGCATGCAGAAAAGCCATTTTAAGTAATGTGCACAAAAGCACATTGATAAGGTAATACTGTTTTAGGTAGCATAATCCTTTTGAACTGTTGTAACAAATTGTAAAGTGAATGGCTTATAAACAATTATAATTATAAATAATTACGATTCTGGAGGCTGGGGTGTCTAAGATTAAGGAACCAGGTGAGGGGGACTGGTGTGAGCTCTGGTTGATAGATGGCATAGTCTCACTACCTAACAAGCTCCTAAAGGCCTCACCTCTTGGGGACTTGGTTTTACCACAGGAATCTAGGGAATGGGGTTGCAGGCAGACAACTGATATTTGGACCACTGACTATTATTTTGACCCAGGCAACGAGTGTAAGGGTACTAAGGGGGAAAGACTGACCCTTTCATGATACAACAGTATCACGTTCTGGAGTGTGGGCACAGTGTCCACAGTAGTAGGTAAGGCCAAACTAAGGTTTCTCTTTAAGGCCCGGGTAATGGAAATGGTTAAATATTTGAGACAAAATGTTAAGAGAAATGCGATCGCCAAACTTCCCTTTTTCAATAGTTAAGTCTGGCAAGGCGCTAGACTTTAACACATGAACTACCTTCTGGGAGAGAACCCACATGAAACTCATTTATTCTTCACAGAGGACTTTGCCTCTGGATAGTCATGGTTTTCTCTAGACACTGAAGGACTGCTGTAACCTTGGAGCGTGTCGAGAGTAAGCGTTTCGGCGTTGCGCGGCAACTAAGGGCAACTTCAGGCTTCCGGATATTACGACACATCCCCTTCTGTTTTCTTCCGCCTCGACGGAACTCCGGGCTCCCGGATCTGGTGGTTGTGTACGTGGAAGGAGTCCGCGCATGCGCAGTCTCGGCCCTTCCTCAGCTGTGCTTGAGTCGCTGAGGGTTCTCTCCCTGCTGGGGAAAGACGGTGGGGCTATGGCTTCCTGCTGACAGAGCCTGCAGAGTGGTTGAGGGGGCGAGGCCGCTCTGCCGCACCCTCCCCGGGGCCTGAGGCTGTCAGCCTGGCCTTGTCGGTGCCGCTGCCGCCACTGCTGGCTGAGGAGGAGCGATGAGCTGGTTCAACGCCTCCCAGCTCTCCAGCTTCGCCAAGCAGGCCCTGTCCCAGGCCCAGAAGTCCATCGACAGAGTCCTGGACATCCAGGAGGAGGAACCGAGCGCTTGGGTGGAGACCATTCCCTACGGAGAGCCGGGTAAGGGGTGGGCGTGGGTCCACCCAGGTTTCCTACCGAGTACACAGGTCTGGTGGTTGAGTGGGTCTCCCCCGCTCTTTCCCAGATGCTGCTCTAGTTTCCAAGTTGGTTTTTGCAGCTTGCCTACAGGAAAACTCAGCCCACAGTCCCCTTTGCCTTTGGTCTTGGGGGCGCGTCCTGCTGACTTGAGAAGACATGGCTCCAATTTGCTGATCTTGTCGCCAACCTCATTTTCAACTGTCCCAAGCCCAACATTCTTGAAACGCGAAAGCTCTGTTGGATCCTAGGTCTGAAGTATGTAAATGAGTAAGGATGGATAGAATAATAGCTAACATTTAACGAGTACTTCGTGCTTGTTAGCACAAAAGTTTTTTTTCTTTTTAAATGGATTTCTCATCTTCAATTCAAGTTAGATTTGTTAATACCCAAATTTTAGAGAAGAGTAAAATGAGGTTTAGAACACCGAGGAGCTTGCTATAGGTCACACAGCAGTCGGGGGCAGGATGTGGTGGAGATACTACCGGTGGTATGGACTCTGTGGTCCAGGAATTTTAGATTGTATCGTATTGTTTTGCATAGCCAAGTCTGTTACATTCTCAAATCAATCTTTTAAGAATCTTTTGCTCTTAGTCTAAGGATAGCTTAGCATTTTGCTGTGTAAAATAAGATTTACAGGTTTTGAGAGTATAAATTTTGATGAGAATAAGTTATTCTTGATTACTCCTTTCTGGTGTCTGTTTTTAATTTTACGTCGTTGAGGTCAGGGCCTAAATTGGAGATATCTCATTTTATGATATAGTATTTTAGTGTATGTGTGTATGTCATGATCTTACTATTTTTTTTTTTTTTTTGGTATCCGGAATCGAACTCAGCACCTTGTGCTTGCGAGGCAGGCGGCGGCACCACTGAGCTAAATTCCTGGCCCTATTACTTTTTACATGATGTTATATAACCTTGCTTGAGTATCTCAACTTGCTTTTTTTCATATGGGCCTCACATTTTGAATTACTAAACTGAAATAGAATAAGTTTCAAATGTAAAGATACTCATTTTCTGAGCTCTGGGGCATGAATCATGCTGTATAATTTATTTCTGAAAAAATAGACTCAGGTTCTAGTGAAGGGCCATAAATGTTTATTGATCGCCTCCTGTGTTTACATTACAAAAATGACCATAAATCTTGAGAATGGAGTAGTTTAAATGGCTGTCAGGTAACCCTACAATTACTCTATAAAGCATTCTCTAAGAGGCACACTTAGTTTCTGTCACCCATTAAGATAGTGATAAACTTATCAGAAGACATAATCTTGCTTTTTCATTTGCACCTTTAATTTGGGTTATTTCTTGTTTTTATATTTTGAATAAATGAATGTAAAACCATTATCCTCAAACTGAAACACTTGTATATACTTTTCATTCCAGTCAGCTTTAAAGTCACATGAATGGATAGACTTTATGCAAGAGCTTTTAGTTATTTGTGCTTTCCACAAACTTCTAATTGTGCAAAATCTTTTGTAATTCTCCTCAGCCACTTTTAATTTAGAAAAAGAAGACAAAAATTTAAAACATGCTTTAAGTGTTTTAGCAAATATTCCATTTTTTAATCATTGGGTTTTTAGTAGTTGCTGTTTCTATGATTGATACAATTACCATTTTCCTAGAATATATTTTCTCTGTAGTGTTCTAAAAATAGATCCTAACCTGGTGTGGTGACAGAGGGCTATAATCCCAGCACTTGGGAGGCTGAGGCAGAAGGATCACTGTGAGTTCTGTGAGTTCGAGGCCAGCCTGGGTTACATAGTGAGTTCAAGTCCAGTCTGAACTACTGAGACCTTGCCTCAAAAAAAAAAAAAATATATATATATAGATAGATATAGATAGATATAGACAGATACTTTAAAAAAATTTTTTTCTTTACTGTCAACTATTTATATGAAAAACCAATACTTCGGGCTGGGGATTTAGCTCAGTGGTTTCGCCACCTGCTGCGCAAGCGCAAGGACCTGAGTTTGATCCCTGGTACCCCCCCCTCCAAAAAAAAAGAAAAACCAGTACTTCTAAAAAATGCATATTTCTGAAATTATAATGAAAATTACATTTGATCTTAGCCAAAAGGCCGAGAAGCAATAATAATGAAAATTGATAGCATAATTTGGAGGTTGGGAACAAATTCTAAGAGAACAAAACTTTCTTTTAGAGTGGGTTTGGAGAGTAGGATTTGGAGAATGTGTGTGCAATTAAGTGGATGAAAATGAATTTGTTCACTAGAACTTCCTGTTCCCGTCAGTTTAATTAGATCTTTGAAAAGTACATCTGTCTCCAGTATCTTAGATTCAGTTTTTGAGTATTGCCCTTTGTTTTCCTTATAACTATATTTTATTATTGATATTACAAGAATAAAAATAATATTAGAACTAACTAAATAGGTTATTCTCCTATGACTGCGTGTGACCTGTAAGTAAGGATACTCCTGTTTTTGTGAGATGAATCGTATGTATCTTGGACTTAACATGGATTATAAAACATATATCATTACTTCTGTAATTTGTTGTGGGAGGGAGTAAGCTACTTGTCTCTACTAGTCCAGGCCAGGTCTGGTCTTTTACTTGTACCACTAGTTCCTCTCAGGGAGGTACACACCAATTTTATTCTTTGAGGCCCAAAGTTAACTCAGGAAGTAATTAATTATAAAGTAAGCAAGGAGGGTTTTTTTGTCTTGTTTTGTTTTGTTTTTGAGATAGGGTCTTGCTATGTAGTTCAGGGTGGCCTTGAATTACTGTGTAACCCAGGCTGACCTTGAACTCTCTGCTATCCTTCTTCAGCCTCCCAAGTTCTGGGATTATAGGCATGCACCACCATGCCTGGTTTATAAGCAAGGAGTTTAACAGTCAAATTATAGGCTGTATTTCATAGATAAATAAATTCAAATTTATATTCTTAACGACTGAAATATTAATCTAATATAAATATTTTTCAATACTTACTTTTTGTCAAAGGAATAAGTTCCCCTGTCAGTGGAGGATGGGATACTTCAACCTGGGGGTTGAAATCAAACACTGAACCTCAGAGTCCACCAACAGCCTCTCCTAAAGCAATTACAAAGCCAGTTCGGAGGACTGTAGTAGATGAATCTGAAAACTTCTTCAGTGCCTTTCTCTCTCCAGCGGATGTCCAGACCATTCAGAAGAGTCCAGTGGTATCAAAGCCTCCAGCTAAATCACAACGACCAGAAGAAGAAGTGAAAAGCCCCTTACATGAGTCTTTACACACTGTACAGTCAAAAACTACTGAAACAACTGAAACAAAAGTGAAGGACTCTTTGTGTGTATCACAGCAAAGTCTGGCAGTAGATGCTCTATCACCTAAAACTGAAGGTCAGCCTGAAGAAACTGTTAATAAAGAACCTGAAAGGAAGGTGCCAACTATACACTTGAAAGTATCTGAAAGCACAACTAATGTAAAGACAACTACGGAAACTGTATCTGCTGTTTCTACACACTCTCTCACAGCAGAAACCAAGGTTGTGGCTTTGGAACCAAAGGAACAAAAACATGAAGACAGACAGAGCAATACTCCTTCTCCTCCTGTTAGTACCTTCTCATCAGGTACTTCTACCACCAGTGATATCGAAGTTTTAGATCACGACAGTGTTATAAGTGAGAGCTCAGCAAGTTCAAGGCAAGAGACTACAGATGCAAAATCAAGTCTTCACCTGATGCAGACATCTTTCCAGCTTCTCTCTGCATCTCCTTGCCCTGAATATAATCGTTTAGATGATTTCCAGAAACTAAACGAGAGCTGCGGCTCATCTGATGCTTTTGAAAGAATAGACTCATTTAGTGTACAGTCATTAGATAGCCGGAGTGTCAGTGAAATCAATTCAGACGATGAACTGCCAGGCAAGGGATATGCTTTAGTGCCTATTATAGTTAATCCTTCAACCCCAAAGACTAAAATAGTTGAATCTATTGGAGGAAAACCTGAAGAAGAAGTAAATGAAACATTAAGTATACCTGCTGAAGAAGCAGAAATGGAAGAAAGTGGGCGAAGTGCAACTCCTGTTAACTGTGAGCAGCCGGATACCTTGGTTTCTTCTACACCTATGAATGAAGGACATGTTGTCTTGGACAAGGTAGTAGAGCAATGTGAAGCTGCTGAAAGTCCACCAGAAGCACTCTGTGAGAAGAAAGATGTTTGCAAGGTAACTGTAGAATGTAGAAGATTTTTGTATATGTGTTTCAGAGATAAAATTTTAAACATTTAGAAATGTTTTCAATGCATAATGATTCATATTAGTTTAAAAAGATAGGTATTTTGCCATTTCATTGTAGGCTTAAGGACCTTAAAATTTGAAAAATTTCCAAGGCAACAGTGGTAGAATGAGTTGGTATTTTAATATAATGAAGCACAGAAGTTTCCATTTTACCTCTTTACTGTTGAAACTGTGCCCCCCCTCGTCCCCCAACCAGGGTCTCACTATGTAATCAAGGCTGGCCTTCCCTATGTATTCCAAGCTGGCCTTCAACTTGTGATCTCCCTGCCTTAACCTTCAAAGTGCTGTGCTGGGATTACAGGCGTGTACCACCCTGCCCAGTTTATTGTTGAATTTTAAAGTGGTTTAAAATTCTTTAAAATTCTCTTTTGCTATACTTGTATGTCATTTTGCAAAGGACTATTTTCTTATGTTAACCCATTTCTTCCTAAAAGGAACCTAAATATTAATGGCTTTTCTTATATTACAATCTTATGCACGATCGCATTAGTTATACCACATTTTAAATTTAGTCTTTTATTTAGACTTTAGTTATTGATACTTTTTTCTATTAATATTCTAATATTCACTGATATATAGGAAGTATACTCCTTATAATGTTTTAGTTTCTCATTTTTTTGACCTCTAGATCTTTAATTAATTAATTTTATTAATACACATGTGTGGTTACATAATGTTTATGTTCCTTGTGGGGAGTTGGTACATGTACATAATATTTTTAATAACTCCTGTTGATCACTGTTTACATGAATGAGAAAAGGAAATGTTCAAGGAACAAAGTCATTACTGTACTTGGGAGTGACAGATTGCTTCTGCCTAATACATCTAAGAAGAAAGTGGTGTAAAGTCTTTAATCTTAAGTCACAACTTTGGTTTTTCGTATGATTTGTAGATGTAGTAAATGAGTTGGATCTGTCATCTTGAATAGACTCCTGAGATATAGGACGTCTTGAAATGCCATGTATTGAATTATTTAATATTTTGTAAAAGCACTAGATTCTGTTACCTAAGTTCAGTATTACTCAAAAAAAAGATGTAATGCAATATTACTCGAATTAATAGTTGCAAAGTACCATAAAATATATAATAGTGTTTTGAATTCCTAGAAACAAATACCAATATTTTAAGTTTACTTAAGGTAAGTGATTTCTCAATTAGCCTATACTTAAGTAAAACTTAATTTTTTTCAATCCAGAAGGTACCCATTCTCTCCACACACAAATTTATCACTGCTTCTGCAGGAACGAAGCAGTAATATTCTAAGAATTACTTTTTGTTTTTCCTTGATACAGTCTGGAAATTTTTAAATTGCATGACTTTGAGGCATCTAAAATTATTATTCTCTTTTTTAAATACAGTGTATCACATTTTAAAAAATTACATGTTTATGTTAAAGAATAATGTGGAAAACAGATACTCCTTGACCTTTTTTGATTACCTCTATCTACTTTCCTCTTCTGTTGGATATACAAATTGTCCCATATTTTTGCTGTTAACAGACACACTACTACAAATATTCTTATACATGTCACCTAGTGCATTTACCAGTAGTTTTGGGGTCTACCTGGAAGTGGACTTTTCCTACATCAAAGGACACGAGGGCATTCAATTAGATATTGTTTAATTCTTTTCCAGAGTGTGTATTTTTACTCTCACCTGCTATGTGGTGGTTCTGATTTGTATTCTCTTACTAGCTCTGTTAGAGTTCTTCTTGTTCTGTATCCACTGTGTTCCTAATATTGTCTTTAATTGGTTGTGTGAGATAATGTTATTTTATTTAGAATGGCGATTAGGTTACCTTTACAACTTACCACCTGCATGCACAAATGATCTTTTTAAAAGTTACATGTTTTGACTTTTATGTATTCTCTTTATCCAGACAGTTGAACTTCTGAATGAGAGACTGGAAAAAAGGGAGGCTCAGTTATTATCTCTTAGTAAAGAAAAAGCACTTTTAGAAGAAGCTTATGATAACCTAAAAGAGTGAGTATACTACAAATGTGAATAATTTTACATATTATGTGGAGGCACATAATACTTTGTAGTTATTTAAGAATGTTTTTAAAATTAAAATGTTTTATAATTTAACTTTTATAATTACTAAAAATTGAAAAACATTTCATTAATAACCTTATTTTAAGATTACTTTTCTTGGGCCCGGGGATTTAGCTCAGTGGTTTCGCCGCCTGCTGTGCAAGTGCAAGGACCTGAGTTCAATCTCCAGTACCAAAAAAAAAAAACAAGATTACTTTTCTCCTGAAGTTATCTTTACCATATTGCCTTTGGCACTGAAGAGAGATGTTTTGTGTAAACTAAAACTTCTCTTATTATTAATAATCACTTGACATTAGAAATTTAAAACATATCTTTAAAGGAAACTGTAATTTAGTTAAAATACTGAGGTAATTAGGGAAATGTGACATAAGATTCAGAATTAAACATTTTTTTCTTATTTTTGCACATCAAATATTGGTGACATTTTATTTTCCAATCAGTTTATTTGACCTATTTTAAAATAAATTTAACAAGTAATTTTTTTCTTAAAAGGAAAAAACATCTATTTTAATAAGGTATATGTTGGAGAACAACTCATCTTGTTAAGCTTTGGAATATATAAACAATATCTTCATTCTCAAATATTTTAAATTTAGTGAATTGTTCAGAGTGAAAGAAGAAAGCAGTAGCATTTCTTCCTTGAAAGATGAGTTTACCCAAAGAATTGCAGAAGCAGAAAAGAAAGTTCAGCTAGCCTGCAAAGAGAGAGATGCTGCTAAAAAGGTAATAGAAATTTAAAATAATTGTAATTAAACTAAAGAGACAGATTTTGGTGAATGGATTCATCATATTTTGTATTGGAAAAAAGTAAGATTAAGAAGAAATAGCAGGGCCGGGGATTTAGCTCAGTGGTTTCGCCGCCTGCTGCACAAGCGCAAGGACCTGAGTTCGATCCCCCGTACCAAAAAACAAAAAAGAAGAAATAGCATATTAACAAGTAAATGGTAGATTTTTGATAAATTTATAGATTTTGATACTGTAAAAGAACTAAGCTGATGTTAGTTTGTATAATTTATATAGGAATCCTTGCAAGGTGTATAGCAAAGATCACTAGAATAATTGTTATGGATGATAGTTCCATTAAAATAAATAACACTTAAGTCTAAACAGAACTATATACATTTTTAAAAATTATCATTACTCTCATTTATTTTCCAACCACTTCAAACACATATATACTTTAAGTCAAAGCACTTTTATTTGTTTATTTTAGTAATTTTAAAATACAAATTTCTAGTGGTTAATATTCTCTTTTGGGAGGAATAATGTTGACTTATTCTAATGCAGAATTTTCACATTCAATGCTGTTGACCTTTTGGGCTAGATAATTCTATGCTGTGGGAGGCTGTTCTGTGCCCTGCCGGTTGTTTAGCAGCATCCTTGGGCCCTATCCATTCCATTGTAGTAGCACTCACCCTTGAGCCAGTTGTTATAGATTGCTAAATGTCCCCTTGAGAGCAGAGTCACCCCTGGTAGGGAGCCATTGTTAATGCTTCTAATTTGGAATAGTTGTTTATTTCGGAAGTTGATAACAACTAGGGTTAGTAAGTATTACTTGAGCCCCAGCTATTACTAATGACATTATCTTTGCATTTGCTCTTTCTCAATTAAGTTACTTGTTACTTTCTCCCTTCACCAATGTCAATGTTAATTTATAATTTTTCTGATTACTCCTATAGACAGGAAGTCATATACTTTCATCTACTTGCATGCTTTGATTAAGCATTAAGCTAGCTTACTTCAGATACTACTAACTTGAGACTACATAATTAACTTCTTTCCCTACTGTACTGTTATTCTCAATTAATGCTTAACTTGTAGAATATATGTGTAGAGATAGTGAAGATGAGTATTGAAAGTTAACTTATTTTTGCTTGTATTTCTATATTAAAACCTGCTTATTTATCTTAATTTAGGTTTTGTATGTCACATTGAAAGCTGTTTTATTAGTCTTAGTAAACCAAGCTAGTAGGTTAACTGAGCAAAACTCATTATGGGAATATTACTATGGTTGATTTTTTTTCCATGGGGAAAATGATAGAAAAATATGGTAGGATGAAAGTACTTCTTTATGGTATTCACAGATTTTTTTTTTAATTAGGAAATAAAAACTATAAAAGAAGAACTTGCCATTAGATTAAATAGTAGTGAAACTGCAGATCTTTTGAAAGAGAAAGATGAACAGATTCAAGGACTAATGGAAGAGGGTGAGTATTCTGTTGATTTTGAAAAATATTTTAAAAGCGGAAGAAATATTTGGCACATGACAAGCAGATGCTTCCTAATAAAAAGCATTGAGCTGGGCATGGTAGCACAAAGTTTTAGTCCCAGCTAATATTTGAGAGGCTGAGATGGGAGGATGGGTTGAGCCCATGAGTTTGAGAACAACCTTGGCCTCACAGCAAGAACCCATCTCAAAACATTATTCATTTATTTGCTTGTTTGTTTGTTCTTTTTGTAAATATACACATACATACACACATATATGGCCAGGAAGATTTGTACTTAAACCACAGAAGTTATAGGTGACAGCTTATGAAAGAATGAGGAATAAGATGTGTTGATAGAAGTACATGTGTGTAGATTTTTGTTTCTGAGATTGTGTGTGTGTGGGGTACATGTGTGCATGTGTTAGTGATAATGGAGATTGAACTCAGGGCCTATGCACTGAGCTACATATCCAGCCCTTTTTATTATTTTATCTTGAGACAGGGTCTTGCGAAGTTGCTAAGTTAAACAGGCTGGGGTCAACTTGTGATCCTCCTGCCTCAGCCTTCCAGAGGTACTGTACTGGAATTACGGGCATGTGCCACTATGCTTGGAAGAGGTTTATAAAAATAACTCTTAAAAAATAACCTTATGAAAGCTTATATCAAGTCTTAAAAGAACCCATGGTTTAAACAAAGATATCTGAAAGTTTTAATTCTGAGGTTTATATAGTTTCTGAATCCCTAGCTTGAGCACCAGATAGTGTGATTTTGGTGTTTGATAGTGACTTTTTCATTGTCTTCACGTTATAATTTTTAAATTAATAAGCTCTTATTTCTGAAAAGGTTTGCAGTTGACAAGGTTATGGAAATTAAAGATACATCATAATAGCGCAAGGACCCGAGTTTGATCCCCGGTACCCCCCAAAAAAAATAAATAAAAAAAATAAAGATACATCATAAAATAAATCATTGCTGATGAATAATTGAATCTTTATGCAATATCCTAGGAGAGGTTTTGAATAAGGTTGTCAAGTGAATTTCTTTAAGTTTTTCAAGATATAAGAATAATAGTTAATATTTGTAGAAATTTTGAAATGATAGGAATGCTTGTGAAAAAGAAAAAATAGCCTGTAATCCAATATTACAAGGAAACAAAGATTAATTTTCAACACATGTTTTTCATTGCATTTTTAAGCATACTTAAGATTATATTTCAGCATGCAGTCTCTTCTTTGACATGTCATATGCCATTAAATGCTTTTTAGAGTCCATTATATGGGTATTTCCATAATCTGTTTAACTGTTTCCCTAATGTTGGACATTTTGTTTCTAAAATGTAATTTTTTTTTGGGTACCAGGGATCGAACTCGGGTCCTTGCACTTGCAAGGCAGGTGGCAGAACCACTGAGCTAAATCCTCGTCCCTTCTAAAATGTAATATTAACAAATGTTGTGGGCAGAACATTTCTGTGCTTAAGTCTTTTGAACTTAAGTGAATTTCTAGAGAAAGTGTTGGTTTGACTAACTGAAAAAGTTAGCTTGATTCAACTTCTTTTTTTTTCTGGTACCAGGGATCAAACTTAGGATCTTGGACTTGCAAGGCAGGCATGATGCTACTAAGCTAAATCCCCGGTCACTGATTCAACTTTTATTTGTGTTCTGTTTTTTTGAGACGAGGTCTTGCTATTGTAGTTCAGACTGGCCTTGAACTCACTATGTAGCCCATGCTGGCCTTGAACTCATGGTGATCCACCTATATCAGCCTCCCAAGTGCTGGGATTATAGGTGTGCACCGCCATGCCGGGCTTTGATCCAACTTTTAATTTTTTTTAACTAATATTTCTTGAACCATCAATATATTGTTGATACAGTAGTAGATAGGACATACTTCCTGTCCCTTAGGAGCTTAGTTTAATGAGAGGAAAATATAGGTACACAGGTATTTATAAACTCTAGAACATATAATTATAAACTTTAAACTCTAGAACAAGTGAATGAATAAATGGTTGATAAAATACATCATCTTGATTATTTCAAGACATCTTTAAGTCATTAACTGCCTTGTGTTGCATTAGAGACTGAAGGGATAGCTAACTCTATGGTTTCATGATTTAAATAAATTATTTGAAGTATTAGTATCAAATGTCACTTTCAGAATTTAGTAATTTAATGTGGGAATAGACTGATGTTTTCTTTTGCTTAATAAACTTCTTTATAGAGGAAATAGAATAATATCACACAGGAATATTTATATACTGCTTCTGTATCCCTCAGAAATGTTTTTAAAACCTGTACCTGACAAACTGAAAAGCTCAAAGCTGAAAGTACATATGAAGAATACCTGATTATTCCAATACCTAGATTAATCAAGTACTAATATCTTGTACCTCTTCCATATCTTTCTGTACACACCTAACACTATCCCTTGCCAAACATGTGAAAGTTAGTTAAAGGTTCCTTAGCTTTTGCATTTCTAAACTCTTTCTTCACAAGTACACCACCATAACAATACCTAAGATCGGCATTAATTCAGAAGTGTAATTTATATATGTATTTCTTCATTTATCTCAAAAAATTCCTTTTGTATTGGGCCATTTGTCCTGCTTGAAGATCCTAGTTTTCTTTTCTTTATTACATTGAAGATTTTATATTTAGAGTCCAGGGCAGTTGTCCTACAGGGTATACCATGTTCAGAAACTTGTCACTTTTCTTTTTTTTTTTCTTTTTCTTTTCTTTTCTTTTTTTTTTACTTTTCTTCACAATTAGACTCAGATCAAAGTTTTGGTAAGAAATATCATGGTTAATATTGTAAATTGACTACTACATCACATCAGTGCTACATAATGTTAGATGGTACCACGGTGCTTAATTAGACTGTCAGATTTCTCACTGTAAAAGTACATTTTTCAGTTTATAATTCATAAGTAAGATATGGGATTGTTTCTTAAGACTGCTTTAGTATTCTATTCCCCAGTATCCTTTCATGCAGTAATTTCAGCATTCCTTGATGATTCCTGACCAAATCAATTTTAACATTAGTCTTACAAATGGAATTTAAAAAAAATTCCTATTTTATATCACTGGTTAAATGAAATATTGTATTCAGATTCTTAGGAAATCATTATTATTTGGATTTACCCTTTTTTTACCATCACCAGGTGAAAAACTTTCAAAGCAGCAGTTACATAACTCTAACATCATTAAGAAACTGAGAACTAAAGACAAAGACAATGAAAATATTATTGGAAAACTGAACAAAAAAGCTAAAGAGCTAGAAGAGGAGTTACAGCATTTAAAACAGGTGAATAGAAATCATTATTCTCTGTATATAAATTGTTATTTCTTCCTATATGAACACTTGGCCTGTATGAAACATTGAAATGATTTAATGGGATGTAGGAATGTATCATGTGAGAAGAATTTTTTGAATGATTTAGTAAGTCAAGATTTTTCTACACTATTATTACAATTGAGATTCCTGCAACACTATTACTTACTATAGTGTAATTTATTAAAAAATACTTTTGTTGTTTTTTATAACATAGGTCCTTGATGGCAAAGAAGAGGTTGAGAAGCAACATAGAGAAAATATTAAAAAACTAAATTCTGTAGTAGATCGTCAAGAGAAAGATCTTGGTCGACTTCAGATAGACATGGATGAACTCGAAGAAAAGAACCGAAGTATTCAGGCTGCCCTGGATAGTGCATACAAGTAAGAAAATAAACATAACATTCAACCCATTTAAAATCAACTGTTAGTGTAAGATGTTAGAGAAATGTTTTTTTCTATTATCTGATCACTAAAAACATTTATAAATTTATCTCTGTATGACCTAATTTCTAGTCAAGGCAAGTTCAATGGAGAAAGGGTCCTTAATGATAACCAGTGTTTGTTATGTGGTAGATTCCATGGTCCGTGGAAATTTCATTAACCTGGGCATGTAGTTAACTGTATATTAAATACAAACTATCAATCTAATTTTTTAAGAGAACTTACTGATCTTCACAAAGCCAGTGCTGCAAAGGATAGTGAGGCACAGGAAGCAGCTCTGAGTCGTGAAATGAAAGCTAAAGAAGAACTTTCTGCAGCAGTAGAGAAAGCCCAAGAAGAAGCCCGTCAACAGCAAGAAACATTAGCAATTCAAGTAAGAAGATGATGAGTAAAATTAGTCTTTTATATATTTACTTATGTTCTTTAGCTAGTATGAATTGAACATTATGTAGTGGTGCAAGTGTTAGATTTCCATCATAATCTTTTTGGGCATTTTTCAAAGACTTCTGGATTGTGCCAAAGTAACTATGTGTTTTTTAAAACTATTATTAAAGTGATGCCAGTTTTTTGTGTGTGTGTGTGAATTTCAGACTTGTTTAATAATTTTATTGGTCCTGGATTGTAGCTCAGTGGAAGAATGCTTGCCTATCATGCACAAGTCCTGATTCAGTTCCCAGTACTACCCACCCCCAAAGTGAAAACTAGACTCTGTTTCCAGAGAAATGTATATAATCATAAATTATTACATGTAGTCAGTTATAGTGGTACATGCCTGTAATCCCAGCACTTGGGAGACTGAGGCAGGATGATCTCTGTGAGTTCAAGGCCAGCCCAAACTAAATAGTGAACCCTGTTTAAAAAAAAAAAAAACTGTCATTACATGTAGTTTCAAGAGAATACATTTAACTCCTTATTAATAATGTTTGTGACGGTCCATGGATCTCACATGAAAGAGGAAAAGAAAATTTGGTAGGCTTTGTATTATAAAATCATTTGATAGACATTTTGACTTATTAATGCATTTTGGTTATTATGAATAATTGCTATAAATATTCATATACAAACTTTTGTAGGGACATATACTTTAAATTCTACTTGACATAAAATGTTGGGTCACATGGTAATTCTATATTTAACTTTTTGAAGAACTGTCACATTTTCTCTAGTGGCTGTATTTTACATTCTCACTCGCAATAGATTGAAGGCTTCATTATCTTGAATATCCACATTCTTGCCAATTTTTGCCATTGTGTATTTGGTTTTTTATTATATCCCTTTTAGTAGGTATGAGGTGGTATCTGAGTGTGGTATTGATTTGCATTTCTTTAATGATCAGTGATGATGAGCATCTTTTTATGTGCTGATTGGCCATTTATTAATATATCTTAGTAAGATTTATTCAGATATTTGCCCATATTTAATTGAGCTATTTGTATCATTTTGTTCTGTGTACTAGATCTTTATCAGATAGAATTTCTAAATGTTTTCTCTTTCTGTGGGTTGTCTTAAAGTTTTAAATATTTTTTTGTTTTGTTTTGAGATATGGCCTCACTATGTTGTCCAGGGTGGTTTTGAATTCACTACATAGGCTGGCAATCCTACCTCGGCCTTTTGAGTGCTAGAATTACAGGCATGTGCCACCATACCCAGCCAAGTTTTAAATTTTGATGAAGTCCAGCTTAACTTCTTTTTCTTTTGCTCCTTGTTCTTTTGGCATCATAGTAAAGAAATTATTCTGTAATCCAAGATTGTACAGATTTTTTACCAATTTTATAGTCTTAGCTTTTATATTAGGTTTTTATATGTGGATGTCCAGTTTTCCTAGCACTGTTTCTTGAAAAAAACTATTCTTATTGGCATCACTATACTTTTAATTTAATTTTACACTTCGGATCCATACAAAATTTACATGATTCCAGAGAGCTAATAACAAAATACATTCAGACAAAATTTGCTTCCAACTTATACTTTCCTCACTCTTCTCATGGAACTCTACATGGAACTCTTACTAGTGTTGCATTTATATTTTCAGTATTTTTACTTGTAAATGCAAGAAAATATGGATAGCTATACATTAATTGACACATAGACTTTTTTTTTTTTTTTTTGGTACCAGGAATTGAACTCCGGACCTTGCGGTTGCAAGGCAGGCTGTGGCACCACTGAGCTAAATCCCTGGCCCAACACATTGACTTACACATTTATTTATATCTCCTTCATCCTTCTTACATTAAAAAAATTTTGCTGTTTATACTGTTTTACAGCTTGATTTATTTACATAGTAAAATACCTTCATAGTCATGTAATCGTAGATCTTATTGCTTCAAGAAAAAACTTTTTTTTGAGACAGGATCTTTCTCTGTAGTGCAGGCTGGCCTTGAACTCACTATGTAGCCCAGGCAAGCTTCCAAATCATGGCAATCCTGCCTCAGCCTGAGGGCTGGGATTACAAGTGTGTACTACCACCCTTGGATCTTTAAAAAAAATTATTTTGTAGTTTTATACATTTATGTGAAGCATTTTTAGCCATTTCTTATGTTGAGTTTTTAGATTATTTCTAAGATTTTGCTATTATAAATCATGCCATGGTCAGTGTATCTTTGTGCTTCTGCTACCTTATCATGGGGATATATAAGATACTAATATTTTAAATTAAAGATAAAAAGAAAAATTGAGGAATGAGAGGTAGGAAGTATATGAGGCTACCATTCATAAAACTACTGTTTTACAGGTACTGTTAATTTTGTCTATTATCTTTTATAATTTTATAGACGTATGTTACATCTCCATGTAAATATTTTGTGTAATTGATACCATAGATACTATCTTCCACATTTTGTATTTAAGATTAAATCATAAATATTTTACATGTTTTTTACATTCATAATTTTAATGGTTATATTCATGTATCAACATTTGAAAATATAAATTACTATTGATAGATATTTAGAATATTTCCAGGTTTTTTCTTTTTCTAAAAATCTTTTTTTTTGATAGTAGCTTAGGTAACAGTGTAGGAAACATCCCTATACACTTAACATATCTTCTTCTATAGAGTAAATTTCTAGGAATTGAATGATCAGGTTGAAGGCTATAAAAAATTTGATTAATTATTCAAGTATATTCCTATATTTTTTCCAGAAAATGTATAGCAGTTTAAATATGTGCAGCAGGGTATGAGTATAACTCTTAGTTTTTGTTGTGAGACATGGTCTTACTGTGTTGCCTAGGCTGGCGCAGATTCCTGGGTGCTAGCAGTGCTGCCTCACCCCCAGGAGAATGTTGGACTAGCAGCATACAGCACTGTGCCCTGCTAGCACCAGTATTTTGTTTATCAGTGGTTGTTTTCTTCATTTTTTTGTTTGTTTGGTGATGCTAGGGATTAAAACCTCTAGAGCCTTGCTTTGCTAGGCAATAGCACCTAGTTTTTGTAGCTCTCCTAGTTCCTGTCACATCTGCTTTCTGTGACAAACATCTATGGATGTATGATCTATCCAACACTGTGCTAGGGCTATGCTTTTACATATTTATCTTTTCCTTGGCTAAGAGTACTTTTAAAAGTAGATAATAAGTATTCATATCATTTTAGAATTGCTTGATAGATGGGATGCATGCTGATTGTATATAAGAGCTTGTTGGGTGGTATTTTGTATCATATATAAACACTAGATCACCACAATATAAATTGTGTAGTTTATAGGAAGTTATCAATAATACTTTGACATTGTGATAGTGTATTCTTTTTCCTCCTACAGGTAGGGGACCTTAGACTAGCACTGCAACGTGCAGAACAAGCAGCTGCCAGAAAAGAGGATTATCTGCGACATGAGATCAGTGAACTTCAGCAGGTATTGCTGTTTTCCTAAACACAAATTTAAAAAATTTATTTTCCTAGAAATACAAAAATGACTCACTGAGATAACTGACATACTTATCGGTCACTATATTTTTGTGGCTTATTTGAATCACAGTGACCACCTTAAGAATGTATACAGGAAAATCTTCAATTATTTTATTTATTTATTTAATTTTTGGCATACTGGATATTGAACTCAGGATCTTGCACTTGCCAGGCAGGCTTGGCACCACTAAGCTAAATCCCCAGCCCTTCAATTTTATTTTAAAAGAAGCAGTTTTATAGTGGTAGAGGGTCTTGCATATTAAGTAATTTTGTTTTGTTTTCTGGTGCTGGGGATTAAGTGTAAGGTATTATGTATGCTAGACAAGTGCTTTGCTACTGAGCTTTCAGTATTGTTTTTTGATTTATAATAGCTGGTTTATTAACAATTATCAGTCTTAGATTACTGTAGGGCAGATAATCAGTGCCTGGTTTCTGTTCCAATACTCTGTTAATTTTTAGTCCATGAACATGCATAGGAAAAGAGAGCGGAAATACCAGTTATATGGATCTTTCTTTTTTTATATATATTTAAAAATACTTGGAGCCAGGCATGGTGGCTCACGCCTGTAATCCCAGCACTTTGGAGGTTAAGGCAGGAGGATCTCAGTGAGTTTGAGACCTGCCTGGGCTACATAGTGAGTTCAAGTCCAACCTGAACTACATGGTGAGACCCTGTCTCCAAAAACAAAAATACAAACAGAATAAAACATTGGATAAGAAGATAACAACTGAGACGTTTGAATAATCACTTTTTTTTTTTTTTAACCTTCAGATAACCATAAATTATGTTAGAAATTCTTTGTAAAGAAGCGCTTATTTAGATACTCTATGCAAGTTTTTTTTTTTTGGTACCGGGGATTGAACTCAGGACTTTGCGCTTGTCAGGCAGGCACAGTGCCATTGAGCTAAATCCCTGGCCCATCTATGCAAGTTTTTAGACCTGAAAAATTAAATTAAAAAATTTCATAAAAAATCAAATAATTTTCTCTTGAAAAAATAAATTTTTCCAGAAGTCTGGTAAAGTTTAGATTTGCTACTGTTTTCAACAATTTTACTGCTGTCTGTGATAATGACTTAAGAGTTTGTTGATTCAGAGACTCCAGGAAGCAGAGAATCGGAATCAAGAACTGAGTCAAAGTGTTTCATCAACAACAAGACCATTGCTTAGACAAATAGAAAATTTGCAAGCAACCCTAGGGTCCCAGACATCATCGTGGGAGAAGTTGGAGAAGAATCTTTCTGATAGGCTTGGTAATTGCTTTAGTTTTTGTTTTTGCACAAGCTTTCCTTCTTGGTTTTAGAATTAGAATATAGTATGATAATGGTATGATTTTATAGTACATTTTGTGTCTGTGTGTGTGTGTGTCTTTTATATAGATTTTTACCTCTTCTTTTTTTTCTTTTTTTTACTTACACATTGTGTCAGTACTGGCTAAAATAATGCCTGTTGTTCTTTCATTTATTTCTACAGCCCATTACTACACTGTAATTTTTCCTTGTCTTTTGTTACATCTAACCCCTTTCTAGCTTCTCTGCAGTAGTGTAGAAGGTAGGGATCAGATATGATTTCTAGTTCACTGGCAGAATTCTAGGAGGGGAGGGTAGATCTGAGAACATCAAGCTGAAATCCTAGAAGACAAATACTGTGGAATCTTAGCAGTCCATATTCTGCCTCTTTACAGACATGCCCCAGCTTGCCTTTCTGTGATTTTAATGAAAAGAAAGTTATTGTTCAAAGATATTTCTTTTCAAGCACAGACAGGTAATATGGGTATATGCTAGATATCCCAGAGCTAGGAAATTCATGAAAAATTGTTTTATGCTTTCGGTTGTAAGAACTACTGTACCTGTATTTTGAGGACCGTTATGGTGTAGTGACAAAACCAGACCTGCATAGGGGTTATGAGACATGAACTTGCTGTTTTTAATCATGTAGCCATTCTGGAGCAAGTCACCTATCTTACTCTAGACTCTCATTTAGACACTCCTTGGTTAAATCTCAGAACCTTATCCACTGCTCTTTTGTGTTTTTTGAATTTTTTAAATTAATGTAATTGTAGATTCAAATATAGTTAAATAAAACAGACAAGTCCATCACACACTTCCCCAATTTCCCCAAATATTAAAATTTTGCAAAATTATTACATAACCTCATAGCCATGTATTGACTTTGATACTGTGGGCCAAATTTATTTAGTTTTCCCCACCTTTTTTGGTATGTACTTGTGTGTGTATTAGTTATTATACAATTTTATATCAACATATAAGAACAGTCCCAACACTACCAGGTCCTTCGTGTTTCCCTTTTATAAATGTACCTACCACCCTCTGATCCCTCCCTCCTCATCTCATATTCCTGGCAACTGCTAATCTGTCCTTCATCTCGAAAATTTTGTCATTTCAAAACTGTTGTATTAATACAATTGTACATGTGACATTTTGAAACTAGCTTTGTTCACTCAGCATAATTATCTTGAAGATCATATAAGTTACATGTATTGCTAGGTTAATATTTTTATTGCTGAGTGTTAATCTGTAGACTATGTACCACAGTTTGTTTAACCGTTAACTTGGTGAAAAACATCCAAGCTTGTACCAGGTTCTAGCTGTTACAGCTAAAGTTGCTGTGAATGTTCATATGCTGTTTAGTGTAGACAAAAATTTTCAAGTCTCTGCATAAATGCTTAGTTGTGCAATTGCCGGGCTATATGGTAGTTGCATGTTTAATTTTTAAGGAAAATGTCAGACATGGCTATTATGTCTGAGAGTAATCCAGTTCTTTTTTTATTTTTTGGTACTGGGGATCGAACTCAGGACCTTCCGCTTGCGAAGCAGGTGGCGGCACCACTGAGCTAAATCCCTGGCCCAGTAATCCAGTTCTTTATATCCTTGCTAGCATTTTGTCATGGTCCCTATTTTTTCTTTTAGTCTTCAGACAGGTATGTAGTTATATGACAAATAATGTTGAACTTTGTTTCATGTGCATATTTTCCATTTGTACAGGCTTTGTGGTGAAATGTCTGTGTCTTGTCTTTTTTTTTTTTTTTGGTACCGGGGATCAAACACAGGACCTTGTGCTTGCCAGGCAGGTGTGGTGCCACTGAGCTTCATCCCTGGCCCTTTTTTTCAATATTAGGGGTTGAACTGGGGCCTTTAAACTAAGCTATATCCCTTTTTGGTTTTGGTTTTGTTGTTTGGTACCGTGGATCGAACTCAGGACCTTTTGCTTGCAAGGCAGGTGGCGAAACGACTGAGCTAAATTCCTGGCCCCTTGTTTTTGGCTTTTTTTTGAGTCAGGGTCTCACTAAGTAACTGAGTTATCCAGTTTGGGCTTGAATTTGTGATCCTCCTGTCTCAATCTCCCAGAGTGCTGGGATTATAGACATGTGCCTTTTTTGTCCATTTTCTAACTGGATTGTATTTTCAATTTTGATTATTCTTTCTGTATTTGGATACTAGGGCAGTTGTGTGGCTTACATTTATTTCTTCTGTCTATAGTTTATTGTTTTTTTTCCCTTCATGTAGAGCAGAAGTTTAAAGGAGTGCATTTTCTTGATTTTCCATTCTGCAATTTGTGTTTTTGGTAGCAAATCCAGATACTCTTTGCCTAGTCCTAGATACTGAAAATTTCTTTCTTTTTTTTCCTAAAAGTTTTTACATTTAAGTTTTGACTCATTTTCAGTTGTTTATACATAATATTTAGGTTGAGACTTTTTTCCTTTACTATATGGATTGTTTATTGATCTGTTGCTCTTTCTCTCCTTCCTTTCTCCTCCCTTCCCCTCCCCTCTTTCGCTCCCTCCTTCCTTCCTTCCTTTCCCTCTTCTCTCTCCTAGCCCCTAGTGCTCTACTGCTGAGCTGTGATCCTCTACTCTTTCAATGCATGACTCCATTTTCGTTCTTTTTTTTGTTTTTTGAGACAGGGCTTCAGTGTGTATTAGTTCAGGCTGGCCTTGCAATAATCCTCCTGCCTCAGCTTCCCAAGTGCTGGAATTACAGGCATGCACCATCACATCTGGCTTGCATGACTCCAATTTTCAAAGTAAAATAAGTTGGGAAAAGAGTAATAAAGAAGGTTTAAATTAAGATTGGTTCATTTCTCTCAGTAGGCAGTCCTGCCTTAGGCAATTGTCAGTTAAGTGTGGTTAGTTGCCTCATTAAAAGTTTGAAGTTAGAATCATTTTGGTGTCTTGGCCTTTCCCATGTATGTATACGTGATTTTTTTCTTTCTGTCCTACAATAGGGGAGTCCCAGACCTTGTTGGCAGCAGCAGTTGAAAGAGAACGTGCAGCTACAGAAGAACTCCTTGCCAACAAAATCCAGATGTCTTCCATGGAATCACAGAATTCTCTCTTGAGACAGGAAAACAGTAGACTTCAGGCCCAGCTAGAATCAGAGAAAAATAAGCTAAGAAAACTGGAGGATGAAAATAATCGGTGAGCATGTTTTTTGAGTGGTATTCTTAGTAGTTTTAGGGCAGTTTACAGCACTTTTTAAAAGTGTGTTACTGCTTTTTTTTAGCTTTATAGCACCAAGAACAGTAAATACTTGTAGTGTTGAAAGTCAGGGTCATCAGTAATAAGATATTATATTGAGATAGTACTGGGATTCATTGGACCTCATATAGAGCTTGAAGTTTTGTGGTACATTTTATATGTATTTGCATTTTTCCCTGGAAGTAATTCATACCATGAATCAGGTTATCCCAAGGTCTCTCTAACACCACAAAGTAGTATGGAGACAACTCATTGCAGTTGTTACAATGGTTTTAGCAGCATTCCAATCGTCTAAATATTTGGGCTCTTTGGAAACTACCAGTTGTAAAATCTATCTGTTTGAAATTATATTAAGGCTGTGATTAATGTTTTTACCTCTGAGTTCTACCTTGGAAATTATGCTTTTTTAAAAAAAAGTAGGTGAAAATGATTTATTAAAGTAAGATAGCTCAACTTTTGTAAACATTTTCACAGAACCCCTGCTTTGGTAAAATTTGAGCATATTATAGAATGGTGGTACTAAAAATTACATGTTAAAAATCTTTTTAAAAATGAAATCTTAACCAATAAATAAAATGCACAGAAGTGGAGCCTTTTCATTTGTAGTTCGACTTCAGAGTAGAACCCAAGTGATCTGGAAAGCACAGTTGGAAAATCACTGATGATTGTAATAAAAATAACTACTAAATATATAACTGGAGATTTAAAAGTAGTGAGTTTTTAATAGTCTGTACTATCATCTTTTTGTTTTGTTTAATTCCCTCTGGTTTACTAGGTACCAGGTTGAATTAGAAAACCTAAAAGATGAATATGTAAGAACACTTGAAGAGACAAGGAAAGAAAAGGTATTTCTCTTAGTGTTCGCTCACCTCTTAGGGCTTACATTAGAGAATGGTTGGGGACAATAGCGAACTAATGAGTTGCTGAGATGAAATGGTTGATGCCACTACTTCAGAAACTTGGTCTTCTAGTAGTAAAACAAATAGGAGTTTATAGTTTTGCTCCAAACTTTACAATTGACTTATGATGCCATGAATTACTATCACAAGAATTATCTAATTGTATCTCTCACCACTAGACATTGTTGAGTAGTCAATTAGAAATGGAAAAAATGAAAGTTGAACAAGAGAGGAAGAAAGCCATTTTCACTCAAGAAGCAATAAAAGAAAAGGTACTAACTTCTGTTGATTTTTTTTGTTTGTTTTTAGTATAATGTAGGAGGTGTTTGTAATTAATCATTGATTGTTTTTATAATTTTAGCCATACTTTATAAGCACCATTTTTATGTCTAAAATCAGTATATTGGTAAATTTTAATAGTATTATCTCTATTCTGAGTAAATCCAATGTAATTTGAGTATATACAAAGAGACTGTGATTATTCGGTTTTGAATTACTGAACCTCATATTCTTTTAAAATGAATTTAAAAAAAAAAATTTTTTTGAAAAATATAAATAATATAAATTTTGTGGTCTCACTTAAACTAAAGTAGTAATTGGCCTATAGGCACCTTAGGAGTAGAACTGGCCTGTTCACTTTCTTTCTTTTATAAAGTGAGTTTCCTATGTTGAAAGCATTATAGTGTACTTATAGTTAACATTTTAAAAATAAGTATATGTAAATGGAAATTGCCTTTTGAATTTTGGGGCATTTAAAAAAAATGCACAGAAATAAACTAGAAAAAAAAGAAAAGAAAAAAAAAGAAATAAACTTGATAAGCCAGAAACCTTATATAATATGAAGCAGTTCCTATAATTGTTTCAAAAATTTTTCTTACTCCATTAAAGACAAATTCTGGGACTGGGGATTTAGCTCAGTGGCGCCATGCCTGCCTCGCAAGTGCAAGGTCCTGAGTTCGATCCCTGGTACAAAAAAAAAAAAAAAGAAGAAATTCTCTTGTAATATGAATAGGTCCATGTGATGATTTGACTAAGCCTGCCTGCTCCTTTAATTACTAAATATTGTACCTTGGGTAAGACTTCTGACTTCGATGAGAAATTATTTCTGTAACATTTCATTGGGAAATTAGACATGACCTTTATTTTTATTAATCCTAGAAAAGGTTTTCTTGCTTTCTTTATCATTTTGCATGTCCCTGTGACAGAACTTTGTTTTACTTTCTAAGGAACGCAAGCCATTTTCTGTTTCTAGTACTCCCACCTTGTCACGCTCGAGTTCAGTAAGTGGAGTTGATATGGCAGAGCTGCAAACATCTTTTCTGTCTCAGGTAATGTTTTATTTCTTACATGTACTTAGTTTGTAAACTGACTAATAATAAAGGGAACAGGCACCTGCAGTTGACTATCACTGTGACCTTGCCATTCTCTGGGCAGTTCATCTGAGTATTTGAGAGAGGGCTAACTGCAGTGAGGAAATACAGAGCATAGACATTTTAAAGCAGGAACTAACAGAATCATTTTGTTTGAACCTTAGGGAACATAATCTATGATAATTGGATAACTATGTTTTTTTAATTAAAATAGGATGAGTCTCATGATCATTCATTTGGACCAATGTCTGCATCAGCGAGTGGCAGCAATCTTTACGATGCTGTAAGGATGGGAGCAGGGTCAAGTGTTATTGAAAACCTGCAGTCTCAGCTAAAGCTAAGGGAAGGGGAAATTGCACATTTACAGGTATGAGAAAAATTAGTGTACTATACAAGTAAATAAATATTGGGGCCCAATAAATGGCACCCTTCATTCCACCTGAATTCTGAGCAAGTTAAAAAAGAAGATGAAATGATGCCACTTCATCCCCAAATATATCACATATTTTAAAGCCCCAGGTATATCACATATATTAATGATAAGAGCTAATGCAAATGCGACTGCTAACTGATTGCTATCAGGGCAGACTTACCCTCCCTGGCACAGGAAATGCTGGGCTGGAGCAGACCTGTCCATGCATTTTGTCTGCCCAGGTAGGACTTACACACATCTAGGAGCACACTGCCTGCTTCTTCTGGGCCACATTTTCCAAAATAAAAAAGGGAAGTGCTGAGCTGAGCTGACCATCCCCATTTCATTCTTCCCAGATTTACCACTTAGATAAGTTGCTCCAACTCCCCCAGCAAGAAGTGAGTAAAGAAGGAGAAAGAGGGGTACAACATGAGTATGGCGGGAATGTCATCTCTTTTTTAAAAAAACTTTATGCAGTGAGAAATGTGAAAATGTTTTGCTTATTTTCAATGTTAAACTTAATACACTCAGAATTATGTAAACCTTTCATTCCCATTATGTGCTTTTAGTTCTGTGAAAATATTACTCTCTTAAAGAGGAATTTGAATTGGCAAAAAGTAGACCCAAGTAATCTTAATACTCAGTATGTTTGTATAGCCCAGTGTGCTGTGCTTGAGAGTTTGAATTAATTTCCTTAGTAGTGGTGGTGACTTCTATTGATATGACTTCCACAGTTGAAAAGAACTTCATTAGAGTGTGTTTTTATTCCTTTTAAAAAAATTTATTTTATTTGCAGTACTGGAAATTGAATCTAGGGTCTTCACACTGAGTAGTATCTCCAGTCCTTTTTATATTTTTATATTTTATTTATTTATTTGTTTAATTTCTTTGGTTTGAGACAGCATCTCATTATGTAGTTGAGACTGGCCTTGAACTCACTATTAGTACAGGCTGGCCTCAAACTCATAGTGATCCTTCTGCCTCAGCCTCCCAAGTGCTGGGATTACAGGCATGTGCCACCACGCCTGGTTTTCCTTTGTGTTCTTGTAGTAACTTAGAATAACTTAAATGTGTGCTGTTTCATTAGAATAGAGAAAAAATATATGGTTGCATTTCAAATGATTAGATTTTTCTATAGTTCTTTCTCTCTTGCTTAGTAAACCCTATAAATAGTATACCTCTGAGCAGGATCAGAACCCTTTCTCTGCCCCTGTTTCCTTTTAGTTAAGAAAGAGCTAGGGCTAAGGTCAGTAGCAGAGTACTTTTGTAGCTTGTATGAGGCCCTGAGTTTGATCCCTAGCACCCCCCAAAAAAGATAGCTCAGGTTTATATAGTAACATATCTATTTCCTCAAAAGTAACACATTAACACTAAATATTTTTATATTAGTGAGATTGTTAAGGTATGTTTTAATAAAAAACTTCTTTGATAATGTTTCTCAGCTGGAAATTGGTAATCTAGAAAAAACTCGATCAATAATGGCTGAAGAGCTAGTTAAATTAACAAATCAAAATGACGAACTTGAAGAAAAAGTGAAGGAGATACCTAAACTTCGAATTCAGCTACGAGTAAGTATTCTTCACTTAAGGACGAGTCATATATTTTAATCCATTCATACTAAATCTCATATTTGTAATTATGTAAAATGTATATATATATCTCTTAGTGATTTTTTTAAAAATTTGGGTATTAATATTTGAGTAAAGAACTTTACAGATGATCTGTCTTGTCATTATACATTCAAGGTGTTTTTCACAAAAATGAACAAGTCCTAGAGTAGGAACGGAACTAGATTTTATATGCCCAAGGCTCATTTATAATAAAACTATACTTTGCCTGCCCTTAGTAGTATTTTGTTGTTGATGTTACATGTTTTGTCACAATTGTCATATTTTCATATAGGACTTTTAAGCCATAAATCATATATATTTTTTGACTTATGCTGTGACCTAAATACTAGGTAATTCTTAAACCGTAGTGAAGTGGCTCATGGTATGTCCAGTGTATGCCTGTAATTCCAACACTCTGAGACGCTGAGGCAGGAGGATGGAAAGTTTGAACCCACCATGGTCATGGGTACTTTAACAACTTAGAGAGACCCTGTCTCAAAATAAAATATACAGTGGTACCTTGGTTCACGAACCCAATTCTCTGCACGATTCTGGTTGCAAGCTGAATTGTAGAACTAAATCAAATTTCCCCATAAGGTCAGCATTGACCCTAACCATTGAATTTGATTTGGTTCTCTTCCAGCTCACTTTTTGACCAGAATCATGGAAAGAATCAACTTTATGAACCAAGGCACCAGCCCTAATCAAGAGGGCTAGGGATGTTGCTTAGTGTGAAGGCCTTGATTTCAGTCCCCACCCCACCCCCCACACACACTCACACACACACACACAAAACCACAATGAAACACAAAGACTAAAATTTCGTCAGATGTGCTAAGATCACTGAGAAAGAGGAGACTCATCATACATGTGGAAAATTGTAGTTTTAGTGGAGAGAGGTGGTTAAAATTTACAGCCATCTAGGTTTTTAAAATTTTTTGTTACTTATTTCAACATAGACAGGTATGAGTTTGATTTTTAAATTTTTATTGTACATGTTTAGAGTACATAAATGAGTTTAATTTTTAAAAGAGATGAGTGTATACTTTTCAGTTTGGTGGTTGCTATTGACTTGTGATACCTAAAGATGTTCAGTATGTTTTAAAAATTATAAATATATTTTTCAGGATTTGGATCAAAGATACAACACTATTTTGCAGATGTATGGAGAAAAAGCAGAAGAAGCAGAAGAACTTCGATTAGATCTTGAAGATGTAAAAAATATGTATAAGACTCAAATAGATGAACTTTTAAGACAGAGGCTCAGTTAACTTCCAAAAACTGAATTCTTGTCAAAGTGAATGTAAACACATAGTATCTCAGTGCAGACTTCCAATAAATTCTTTTATAGAAGTAGAAAATGGAATTTACTGTAGAGTACAAAAACTTTTTTAAAAACTTGTTTTACATATAGTAATATTTTCAGTTAAATTATTTTGTGCAATATTTGGACTTTATTTTTGAAACTATTCTTTAAAGATTTATTTTTCAAAGCCTCTTTGTTTTTTTTTTGCCTTGAATAGCACAGGGATTTATTACTTAATCCATATATCAGTATGGCTACAGAAGGAAAGTGGTGTTTATATATTATTGTAGACATACAAGTAATTGTATCTATAATTTGTATGTTTGTATATATTGAGAACATTTAAAGAGTTAATATTAACATTGACACTTTGAAATCTTTTACACTTCAACATATTACTATTCATTGCAAATGTTTTAAGTGTTCAGGTAAAAAAAAACAAACCTGTGGGTGTTCAATTTTAAACCAATTCTTTTACTTTAAAAGTCAAAGTCATAGTGACACTACCTGAAATTTAAAGAGTGAATAATTCAAACATTAAAAAAAATCTTTTTATTTGAAAATTTACCCATATTCCATAATTGTGAACAAATTTTTGGTATCTTTTGGTACCTATCCAAGAAAAATTTATGCCGGCATAATTGGATAGTGGAAATTTTTTTTTCTTTTTTTTGGTACCAGGGATCGAACATGGGTCCTTGCACTTGGGAGGCAGGCAGCGGAACCGAGCTAAATCCCTGGCCCCGGATAGTGGAAATTTTTACTTAACAATAATTATTTTTTTCTCCCCGGTACTGGGAATCGAACTCAGGACCTTGCACTTGCCAGGCAGGCACAGCACTATTGAGCTAAATCCCTGGCCCAACTTAATTTGTGATGGAATCAGTAGCATTTAAGTGACTTTGAAGAGCTATTATTTTATTATCCTATAAAAAGAACCAAAAATAATAAAATTAATAACATAATTTATTCTTTTAAAATATCTGGTTCACATTTTGTAAAGTCAGATTTTTGGCAGATTAAATGATATTGTAGAATATTCACAATAAAATATAAAAATTATGCGGTAATTTAAATTTGACATTTTACAATTTTATGAAATTTGTCATTTTTTTTGTTCTTTGTTTTTTTGAGACAGGGTCTCACTGCGTAGCCCAGGCTGGCCTCACTCGTGGTCCTCCTGCTTCAGCCTCCCAAGTGCTGGGATTATAGGCATGCACCACCATGCCTGACTCATTTTTTTCTCAAAGCTTTAAAAAAAAAAATAGTGTGGAATAGCTTTAGAAAATAGCTATGCCATCTTCCAAATATTTTGTTCAAAAGTTAATTACCTTCTGTTTTAGACCTGTAAAATATTTTGATACATTTTTATTACTGAAAGTTATTTAACTGACTTTATAGTAGTCCCACCTTATCTATTGTTTTGTTTTCTATAGTTTCAGTTACCCATAATCAGCCACAATGCAAAAATAATAAATGGAAATTCTAGAAATAAACAATTCATAATGTATAAATTGTGCAGTACTCTGAATACTATGGTGAAATCTTGATGTTTTTGCTCCTTTGTTCTTGGGACATGAATCATTCCTTTGTCTATCACATCCACGTCCCCTGGGTAGTCACTTAGCCGTCTCAGTTATCACATTGATTTTCACAGAGCTGCAGTGCTTATAATCTTTGTTTTACTTAATAGCCCCAAAGGGCAAGAGTAGAGAAGCTGTGAAGTGATTCTTTTAATTGACAAAATTGTTTGGTTTTTGTGCTAGAAGTTAAACCCAGGGCCTTTGCACTGCTACACACCCCCTCCCTTTCTTTTTTTTTTTTTGAGATGAGGTTTTGGTAATTCACCAAAGTACTCAGTCTGGGCTTGAATTTGTGGTTCTGCTCCTTTTGCCTCCTAGTGTACTACCACCCCTGACTAAGAAAGTGGAAGTTCTTGTTGAATATACAATTTGTAACTGTCCATGGATTTAGGCATCCACTGAGGGTTTTGGGACATACCCCCATAGATAAGGAAGGATTACTACTATGCTTGTAAGTGAAAACTTTAATTTTTAGTTAAAATTTTAAACAGTAGTACTTCAGAATATAGCTACAAATAAGACTTCTTAAAAGATCTGGAGAACTTTTCAGAATAATTCAAGTGACCTCATTTTTGTTCCTTTTGTATTCCAGGCAATATTTCTGTCATTGGATCTGATTTGTAGCATTAATAAATATCATTTCAGTGAAAGTCAAATTCATAAAATTAATTATATTTTAGTGCTAAAAAGTCTAATCACTTTCTCGCCCCCTTAAATATTGAGGGGCAGAATGACTTGACTGACAGCAATAAGAAATGTACAGAATTAGAAAATACAGGAAATTTAGCTTGCAAAACTAGGAGTTTAGGAATTATGCAAAGTTCCTTTAAAACATCTGTTAGTTAAAAAGGTAAATCTATTGCTGAGAAAAGATTGAAATAAAACTTTACCTTTCATTTTCATGACATTAAGCATTTTTTGTAATCCTTATTAAAATTAGTTCATTTTAAATTTTAAAATGTATTCAACTTAATTTATAAATGACAAGTAACTACTTAAGTTTCAGGCCCTATATTACCATAAATTATTCTAACTACAGATTAATAGCTGATAGTCACACTGATCTTATTTTGATTATGATACTCTTAGATCTCTCAATATGTTTATAAGTGGAGAAGGGATACTGAATCAGTTTTTTGAAAAACTATTAAGTAGCAGAATACTTCTTAAATATTGGTTGCTATGTATTGCTATTTGTCATTAAAACCTCTACCCATATTCTAGTAAAATAATATTCATATTTTAATAGACTAAAAATAGTTTGCAGATAAAGGGCCAGGGATTTAGCTCAGTGGTGCCACGCCTGTCTCACAAGCGCAAGGTCCCAGTACTGCAAAAAAAAAAAAAAAAAAGTTTGCAGATAAATGTTTCCATTCTTTTTATTTTTTTGGTACTGGGGATTGAACTCAGGACCTTGCACTTGCAAGTCAGGCAGTGGCACCACTGAGCTAAATCACAGGCCCAGATGTTTCCATTCTTAAAAAGATGCTATAAATAATTTTTAAGAATATTAAAAAATAGTAAAAAAGGCATGAACATCTTTTGGTGATATGTAGACAGTTAAGTACCCTTACAATTTCTGGGAGCATAATTGGAGACTACCATTTCTTACTTTTCCTTTGCCTCTTTTTGGAGAACTTCCAATTGTACAGTTGTTAGCATGTAGAATGTGTCAAATATATCTTATCTTGTGACTTAAAATATTAAAAATGTAGATAATTTCTGACTTACAGAAATGTGAATTTTTAGTTAAGTAAATGAATACAGGAAAAATTTTTAGCATTTGATTTATTAAAGTTTTATTTGGATGCTTTATTAAAAGCCTTATGGTACTTAGAAAATAGTAGCAGAAAAAATTGCTGTTTTACTACTGTTTAGGATGTATAATTTATGTTCTGGTATATCATTTTTCATTTTTATATAAAACTAATTTTCTCTAGGTCTATAAAAAATCACATTTTGTAAAGGGCTAAAAGTATGATTTAAATTAGATTGATAATATTTTAATTTTAACTGAAAGATAATGTACATAAGCATGAATCTGATTTTAATAAAGATTTAAAAATAGCAATAATGTATCTCTTTTTTTTTTTTTGTAGTATCAAGGATCGAACTCAGGACCTTGTGCTTTTGAAGCAGGCATGGTGCCACTGAGCTAAATTCCCAGCCCTAATATATCTCATGTTTAACAATTCAGACTAGTGAATACCAGTGAATCAAATAGTACTGTTTTATGAAAATCATATAACTTGTATATATGTATATGTACATATTTTGGAACCCATTTTAATGAAATAAGGCCAAATTTTCTGAGTTAACATTATTGAATATTAAGAAGCCTAGTTTCTCCAATGAAGATGAACATTGGAAAATCTAAATTTAAAAATGTAGTTAAATTTAAAAATTTTAAATCTTAAAACAGTATTGAGAATCTTTTTCAAAGTCTTCTAGCAATTCTCTATTCAAATAATAACATAGTGTTAGCCTTACTCATATTGCTTATATTACTGAGCTCTGTAAATTTGATCTGTGTGTGTGAGACAAGGTCTTGCTATATAGATCAGCATAGACTTAGTGGTCCTCCTGCCTCAGCCTCCTGAGTGCTGGGATTACATGTGTGTGCCACCATTTCTGGTTTCTGGCTGTTTGCTTTTAATAATGATGTACACAGATGTATCAGAGAGCCAGTAAACAATGTTCTGTTGATAGTTTAGAATTTTGCTAGCACTCTCATGAGCTAAAGAGGTGTTAAGTATTGTAGCAGTGAATTTATATCACATTTAACCAGACTTGTCATGTGGTGGTAAAATTCTAATTATACAAAATTTCAGAGGTACACAAAAGTAGAGACCAATATTATGAATGTCCACATACCCATTACTTATCTTCAACAGTGTTCAATAGTTACGGTCTATCTCGTTTCATATATACCTCACTTGTGCTTCTCTTTCAACCCTACATTGATTATTTTGAATTAATTTTAGACACATGATTTGATTAACAACATGTACATATATATCCCTAAAATTTAAAGATTAAAAAAATCACAGTATAGCAACCTAATTAACTAGATTCATAATATTAGATATTCAGTCTATATTTTCTGTTGTCCTAAAACTTTTTAAAAGTTCATTTTAAAATCAGGATCCAAATGTTTAATTATTGTGATTAATGTATCTTTTGAATCTCTTCTAATTATGGCGTCCTTTCCCTCTTATTTTTCTTTGTTTTGTTTTTGTTTTTGGTACTGGGGATCGAACTTGGGTCCTTGCGCTTTCGAGGCAGGCAGCAGAACCACTGAGCTAAATCCCTGGCCCTTCTCTCTCATTTTTAATTCTTGCAATTTACTTGCAGAAGAAAGTGAGTCATCCAGAACTCCCCTACATCTATATTGTTGCCGATTGTATGTCTGCCTATGCTTGATTAATGTGCTCTTTTCTGTGTTTGGATCAATTTTTGACAAAAAGTCCTTCATTAGGTGGAGGTACATTCTTCCAGCAGGAGACTAGTGATGTCAGATAGCCTGTGTTTTTTTAACAGTTCTCACTGATCTTTTCTTAAACCTATTAGTTTGGGCCAGGGATGTGGCTCAGTAGCACCATTCCTGCCTGGTAAGTGCAAGACCCTGAGTTCAATCCCCGGTACTGGAAAAAAAAAAACCAAACAAAAAAACTGTTCATAGAGTTTGTAGCATGATAATCTAATGTCATACCTTTTTTATTTCACAGTGGGATGTTTTTTAAGAAGAAACTACCTCAACAATTTGGTTACTTTCATTACAATTTCTGTAGGAAAGGCAGGATAAGTACACGTGATTCTTTGCCTTTATTAACCAGTTTTCAAAATAAAGTTGATTACCTTCTGTCATCAAAAATGAATAATGAATCTGTGGCTTGTATGGTTATTGTATCTTTTTAATACAATATTAAAAATAGATGTTTGCTTTAGTCATACAGTTACCTTTATTGGTGCTTTAAATCTTCCTGTGTTTAAAAAAAAAAAAATCTTCCTGTGTTTGTAAACCCTGTTTTACAAAACAAAAATAGCAACAAAAAAACCTATCTTTGGCCAGATTGGTTCCTGAGGTTTTTTTGTTTTGTTTTTTAATACCAGGGATTGAACCCTGGGCCTCTACACTGAGCCACGTCCTCAGCACTTTTTAATTTGTTTTTAGTACAGGGTCTTCTAAGTAGCTAAATTGCCGAGGTGGGCTTGAACTTTTGATCATTTTGCCTGAGCCTCCTAGAGCACTGGGATCACAGACAGATGCCACCCACCCTGCTCCTAAATCCTTTGGATATGACCCTCATAGCTTTTGATTGCTCCTTGGTTCTTGTTTGTTTGAGACAGGGTCTCACTATGTAGCCCAGGCTGTCCTTGACTCTCTATGTAGCTTACCTAGGCTGGCCTTAAACTCACTATGATCCTCCTGCCTCACCCTGGGTTACAGGTGTGTGCCTCCGCACCTGGTGCTCCCTGGTTCTTGAAGTAAGATGTTTCAGGCTCATCATGTACATGTACTCCAGACCCAAGAGTATCCCTTTTTCCGTGTTCTGTGTGGTTTTTTTAGTGGAAAATGGTTTGTAAAGATCACAATTTGGGCGCAAAAGATGCAGCTTGCTGTTGGGTAGGTTGTATCTAGGCCTTTGTAATGGAGTATTTTGGAAAGATTTTTTTTTCATAGATAAAATTTATTAATTTACATCAAGACTTCAGTTAGCTGGGGATTTAGCTCGATGGTTCCGGCACCTGGCTCACAAGCTCAAAGACCCGAGTTTGATCCCTGGTACCAAAACAAAACAAAAAGACTTCAGTTGAACTACAGGATGTTTATGACTTCAACAAGCTTTCTTTTCTATTACTTGTCCAACATTTTAGCTTCAAAGATCCTAATTATTCCTATTTGTTTATTCCATAGTAACAAACATTTCTATGAACAATTTAGTTACTAAAAATAGTCTAAAGGGTTTTTTTTGTTGTTTTTTTTTTGGTAATTCTTCCAGTTCTAAGGATATGTCCCATTAAGGATGCACAGATTATAGTTCAGAGTCACTTGGGATAGTTCCTCTGTGTGATACCCCACAATTGGGTAGCATTTAGGTTCATTTGGTTTCACTGTACTTTAAATTTTCAAGGATTGCTCCTTAAATTTTGTGGTTTTATATTTTTATGTGGTTCCAAAGTCACCTCTATATGAAGTATATTAAAGTTACACCTTTGTCACTTATACCAACATTCTTTCCTCTTTCTGACAATCATTTTACATATTTTTCCATTTGTAAAATAATACCAATAAGTGCTTAAATATGTGTATATGTGTATCCTCCTCTTTCTTAGATAAGTGGTAGCACATTACATATCCTTCTCAGAAAAAGAGCCTGTAATTTATAGAGATTTTTCAAGTCCTTTTCATACCTACATAGGTCTACAACATTGTGTGGATAAACCATGTGCTATGGTTTGCATCCACAGTGGCCCCCCAAAGCTAGTGTGTTGCAGCCTTGGCCCCCAGCGTGGCACTATGGGGAAATGGTGGAAACAAAGAATTGGGACCTGGTAGGAGGTCTTCCTCCTGTTAGTCCCAGCCTTTTCTCCCTTCTGTCCCTTCCCCTTCAGGAGGTGAATGGCTTTGCTCCACTGCATGCTCCCTATGGTGTTATATGCAGTCTCACCACGGGCTCAGAGGCAGTGGGTGGAAACCTTCAAACCTGAGCCAAAATAAACTCTTTGTAAGTTGATTTCAGGTATTTATTACAGAAATAGACTGATACACCATAGTTATTCAGGGAATCTCACTGCTGGACATTTATGTTAATGTCAACTTGAAAAAAGTTGGGAGAGTTGATAATTTATTTTGGTGGTACAGGGGATGAACCGAGGGCCCTCCCACTGAGCTACATCCCCAGCCCTTTTTTGTTTTTCAGCTTGAGAGGGGTCTCACTGAGTTGCCAACTTAAATAGAATGGGCTTGAAATTGTGATCTTCCTGCTTCAGCCTTCCAGAATGCTGGGATTACACGTGTACCACCAAGCTGGGCTTAAAAAATCATTTTAAATGACTATAATAACTAATAGAAAAGCTGTAGTTCCTGTACATAACATATTAGGGTAGTAGTAAATGAGCTGAGACAGCATTTTTAAAAATTATCGTCCTGAACCAGGAGTGTAGCTCAGTGGTAGAAGAACCCTGGGTTCAGTCCCGGCACTGGTAAGTGCAAGGTCCCGAGTTTGCTCCCCGGTACGAAACAAGCAAAACAGCAATGTTTGCCTTGGAGGTTGACAAGGTTCCTTTTTACAAAAAGAATAATGGATTAATACTGTAAAGTGCTTTTGACTGAAGCCCGGTACATGTTAAATACCGTATATGACTTGTTGTTACTTGAAAAAAAGTTTCAAGTAATCTGAATTTAGCAGATTATTAATAGAACTTGTAGCAATTGTTGTGACAGAGCGTTTAGAAAAAGTATTCAGTAAACCTTTGGAACAAACGTGAGTAGCTTTATGATGACATTAATACCGGTGTATTCGGATGTCTGAGCACGCTTATTTTGATGGCAAGTTGAATCAGTATTTAATGGTCAATGCCGCGCTCAGGCAACGTGCTGGTGAGTACAGACCGTGGACAGCCGGACTTTGAAATAATCATAAAATAACAAAACCATAAAAAACTTCACACAGCAGCATTTAAACTTGGTGAGTTTACTGAGAGGTAAAAGTAAACTACTTTCAGAAACTGTGTAGGCTCCAAAGTATCCTCACCACCAGAAAGTGACTTCTGCTGACCCCCGGGTCTCTGTGTTAGAAAGTTGGGACGACAACTTCTGCCCGAAATGAGAAAACAGCAGAAGTCCGCCTCAGTGCACCGCAGAATGAGCTCTTCCACCCCTCGGATCCCACGGTCTAGGCGCTTTCACGCTGGCTAAGGAGTGTGGCTTCTTTAAAGCCCCCGTCCTTGTGACTCTGGGCCTGTCACGCTAGAGGCCGAGCCCGGCCCGGGGCAGGCTGCCGTGGGTGGGATCCGCAGCTGTTCCCCGCCCTGCGCCCCACGCCCCTGCCCCGCCGGGGTGGCCCGGTCCCGCCTCCTCAGGCTGGCTAAGGTGTCCCAGCTGCTCCCGGGCGCCCTCTGGCCCGGCTACTGCACTGAGGTTTCCGGTGAGCCACAGTAGCCGGTTATGACGACGCCCTCCTCCCGAGCAGCCGCAGCCTCTCCTCCGCAGCCGGCGCCAGGTGGGCCCTGCAGAGCTTCGCTCCCCTCTCCCGCTGAGGCCTCGCGCTGCGCTGCCCTCCCCGGCTCCGGCGCGCGGTGCCCGCTCCCTGCACGTCTTGGCGGAGGGCTGTCGCCGTTGTTGGACCCCGCCCGCGCCCAGCTATCCCCTGCGGGCCGTGGACGCGGGCGTCAGGCGACCGATCCTGGCCTTCCAGGGCCCGTGCGTCCAGCCCCTTCCCGATGCCCGCAGAAGTTTGCGGCCTGTGCCCCGCTGGCCATGTTTCCCGCCGGGGCGGAACCTCTCCCGAAAGTCCCTCCAGCTGCACCTGGCCCCGGGTAGTTTTTGGAAGCAGTGTCGGGTAGAGCCCGGCTGGGGCAGCGAACTTGCATGCAGCATCTTAGCCACCCCTCTGACGCTGTAGTAGACAACTGGGGCAGCAGCCAAGCCTTGTCTGAGGCCTGCGTCGAACCCACCGTGGGCCTTCACGATACAAGTGAGGGCCAATCGTGTGGGTTTCACTGAGCCTCAGATGCCTTTAATTTCACATTTGTCACTGCTTTCTTTAGTTTTCCAAGCTGTGTCTCGAGAGCACTGCCTCACCCACTGAGGTCCCTGTCAACCTAGGTTTCATCATCTTGCAGTTTTCCTTTTTATTTTTTTAGGGCTGTGGAAATAAAGTCAAGGAATCCAAGAGTGGATTGTGGCTGGCTGTTTTGTGCATAAGGACAGTGTAGCATAGCCTCGAATCTGTGTTGTGCATCCATCCACCACGGCAAGGCCTTTCAAGAGGAATCGGCACCCAGGGCTGTCTGCCAGGCCCCGGGGTTGTACTTTCAGCGCCAGCCACCCCATCCAGCTCATGCAAGTGGGTACGTGCCCGCACGGAGGCCAAGTGTCTGAGCTGCGCGTTAGATTCTCCCCGTGCTGCGTTGCTTCTTCTCCGTGGATAGGTAAGTTTATAAGGCCGGAGCTCGCTCCAACGTGCTGGACTTGAATAAGCACAGGACTTGCTGCTGGCAATGGCTTATTTGTTACAAGGAGGGTGAGCCCAAAGAGAGGACAGCGGGAGATTCCAGGAGCAGGGTGACTGCGGGGAACACATGCAGCCCGCTGGCACCCTGGAATGTCTTCTCTCCTAAGTGTCCTGTTGGTTGGTGCTGTTGGTGGCTGTGTAGAGAGGTCACCTCCTTCCTGCTCCCTCTGAGGATCTGCTCTGTCCAGTTACTGTGTGGAGGGCTGTGCCGATGGCTTTGCTTTGGCATCCATTAAAGAAAAGAAAGAGCATCCTGAGCCGGATCTTCTGGTTAGGGAGTTTCTCATTAAATTATTTTCGTTCTTATTATTTCCTTTAAATGTAAATACCACCAGAATGATAAAAGCCTACTTTAGTATGCTTCTAAAGTAATATGTTTTATTTCTGACAGTTTTAGGTGCCTGAAACATCAACAGCTTTTGGGTGGTTCTGAAGATTAAGTAGGTAAATATTTTCATTTTAAGTAGTCTTGTATATATTATATATATGTGTGTATTATTATATATGTATAAATATTTTATATTTATTTTTTGTCATACTCAGAATTGAACTCAGGGCCTTTGCACTGAGTAATATCCTCAGTCCTTTAAAAAAAATTTAAAAAAAAAAATTTGAGACAAGGTCTTGCTAGGTTACTAAGCTGCCCATGCTGGGCTTGGAGTCTCTGTCCTTCTGCCTCAGCCTCCCAGAGTACAGAGATTACAGGCATGTACCACTATACCCAGTTTCTGTTAATATATACTTTTAAGTTTTATAAAATTGCTGTCAATTTACTGTTAGATAAAAGTTCCAACTCAAAGTGTTAATTCAGATCAGATTTACAACAGATAACAATAGACTCTGCAGGACCACCTGAAAGAAAAGCCTCAGTACTTACCTCTCCAGTGGGGAAAGGATTTCTGCTTAGCCTCCGTACTCTCTGGTTGTTGTCCCTTGATCTTGGAACTGTAGTTTTGTTGCACGTGGAAGTCTACTTCTAAAAACCTGTTCTCAGTGAATACTGATTTTGAAAGTTGTGTGGCCCTGTACAGCCTAGTACACAGCAAACCTTCCTGAGGAACATTTTGTGTTTTATGGCTCTGTTACTTGGTAGAAAGAAAATTTAGAGCACAAACAAAAATCCCTAAGTAAAGATACCACTACGGTGAACCAAGAAAGCATGATTATGGTCTGGGATGTACTGGAGAAACCTGACCAACAGATTTAACCCTTCCAGGTTGAGTTAGAAATGCACTAAGATTCAAGATCATCACCACTATGCACCGGTTAGCCTTTCAGGTGGAGTAAGTTTAAGGGCAGTCTTTGAGGCAGACTGCTTGATTTCACTCCTGGAGTTTCTGAGTCATAGTTATGAACACACAATGTCACTGTACCTACTGGAGCAGAATCTTCCCAAAGGCAGTGAATTTGGTTCACACCACACTTCCTGGCCACATCCAAGGCACTTAGCATACCTAGAACATGATGCCTGCCCACTTCTGGCCAGGTGTCAGCCCCTCAGTCTTTCATGGGCAAAAAAGAGGATGACAGGCAGAAAGGACTGTGCCTGCAGCCAGTGTTTCCAGATGGAGGTAGATGCAAATCTCTTTTTACAAGTATTTCAGAGCCATTGCAGTGTCTGCAGAAGTCTGCAGTTCCTCTGAGTAACCAACTCAAAAAATGCCAAAGAAATATGTTTAGGGTAGGACATTTTACTCTCTCACACTTAGATACCTAGCTTCTAACACAGTGCCTGGCACACAGCAGATGCTCATTAAATAGTTGATGAGTAAAGAAACATTACCCAGTGATGTAGCAAAGTACATTATAATTACGCTTAGCTCTTGCCACTTTTCTTGGACTTTTGAAGGAAATTTCTTATCAAAGATGTGTCTTATTTGCTGTCTAGGTTCAGAGGTTGCTATGTTAATGCTGCTTGTCTTTGGGGTCTTACTTTATGAAGTGCCACTGAGTGGCCAAGATGAGGCATATCCTGAGGCTGACCCCATGCCAGGAGAGCCCCTGTATGACTATGCCAGTGTCCGCCTGCCAGAGGAACACATTCCCTTCTTCTTACATAACAACAGGCATGTTGCCACAGTCTGCAAGAAGGACTCACACTGCCCATATAAGGTAGGTATTTATTTCTCCTCTTCTTATTTATTTTTAAGATACAATTTATGCTGGCTTCCTACTTCTGCCTATAACCTGAGACTGAAGGTAAAATTCTAATTTTCAGTTTTCCATGTGAGCCAATCATTGTTTCAGTTCATCTCATACTTCTAAGTGACTAAACTTGGCTTAAAATGGATGTCCCATTCACAAAAGTGAAGTTTAAAATCTAAATCACTACTAAAATAAATAGGCAGCTAATACTGTCTCTATACTCTGTAAATAAAACAAATGTGATTTTAGGCAGAAAAAAAAAATCTTGTTGAAAGTAGAGAATTTCACACTTCTTCTATTCTCACCTGCATGGAAGAAGTCTCTTAGCACTTAATTTCCGTAATAACACCTCAGCCTCTGTCTCTAAATAATTAAGACTGTGGGATTGGGAAGGCCTCAAATAGGAGCCCATTAGGATGTCTCAGGCAGCCTTGAAGATCAAAGCTGGGCATTGTGAGACACTTCCTTTCCCATGGTGCTGGCACAGGAAGCATATGGAAAAGCAGATCCTGGCCTTAGGCCAGCATTGCTCCTGGGCCTGCACAGTTGCTGTAGAGTCAGCCTTGTGGGGTTCCTGCTGGTTTTGATTGATGAGTAAAGTTGCTGATCTGTTCAATTTAGCAGTGATTCTTCGGGTTAACAGAAATTTTAATTCATTTGTCTTTTTAGGGACTGATTTTAAAATCAGTTTGCTCTCTGAGAAAGGTAATTTCCTAAGCTACCTCAGGAAATTCTAATTCAGGCTAACAGTGGTGGCACATATGTGTAATCTTAGCACTCTGGGAGGAGGATCTCAGCAGGAGGATGATTTCTATTCAAGCCTGGGCATTTAGTGAGTCATTGTCTCAAAATAAAAAGGGAAAAGTAGAGGCTGGGATGTTGCTCAGTATGAAGGCCCCAAGTTCAATGTTCAATTCCCCAGTGTTATAAAAAACAAACACATGTATTTAAACAAACAAACATACATATTATGTTTATATATGTCATATATGTTTATATAACATATATATGTTTTATATAAAATTCAAGCAGTCTTTGATAGTTAAGATAAAGGCCAGACTTTTGTTGAGGGGACTGACATAGGAAAGTGAATAAAGACAAAGAACCTTGAGATTTCTAGTCTTAGAATTTCCCCTACTTACTTTTATTATGTCAATATGTATTATGACTATTAAGAAATGTAAATGTGAACATACTATAAAGTTTTTTTTCTTAATGGAAAAATTTAAGACTCCTTTCTAAACTTCAGAGGAAGGGAGACCATTCTAAATGTACATGTTTTATGTTCTAGAAACACTTAGAAAATTTAAAGTACTGCTGGGGTTATGAGAAGTCCTGCAAACCAGAGTTCAGGTTTGGTTACCCTTTCTGCAGCTACGTGGACATAGGATGGTAAGTTTCCCTACGGAATGTATTCCTCCCTTTGAAGTCTTTTACTTTATCTGCAATATGTGTTGATGCCTCAAGTTCCATCTGGATTCTTTTTTTTCTTCAGACAGGGTCTCGCTATGTAGTTCAGGCTGGCCTTGGATTTATTGTGTAGCCCTGGCTGGCCTTGAACTTGGGGATATCCTCCTGTTTCGACCTCCCTAGAGCTGGGGTTACAGGTGTGTGCCACCACACCCAGTGAGCTAGATTCTTTGGCTGTTAGATAGTAATTCCTTTCCTAGAAAAGGAAGTAATTCCTTTCTTAGATGTTAGATAGTAATTGCTTATCCGGTCTTAAATTCAACTTGACTTGAAACTGCGAAGCTGGGTCCTGACACAGCAAGGAACCAGCAACTCACTTCCTTGGTCCTTGATTCTTTGTGCCCACGATGAAAGAAGTCAGTAAAGACCCATAGGCCATGCAGAAGTACAGGCAGAATGTATTGTAAAGTAAATATAGAGTTAAGGCTTCAAGTGAGAAGGCGGGCAGTCCCACAAAGGCATCTGCCTTGAGTGGAGTTTGGATTTCATTTTATGCACACAAAAGTTGCTCCTGTAGTTCAGGGAGCTAGGATAATTATGATGCTTTTTGTCATTTTTACTTGGAAGTTACTTTGGAATTGCAAAATATCCTCCTGTCCCCTTTAGATGGTCATTGCTTCCTCAGGGACTCTAATCATGCATGGAACTTAACTTAAGAAAGAAAAATTGAGAAAGATAAGTTTTTAATTTAAACCAGGTCCCAGCCCAAGGCAGGACAGTCTTTAAAGAACATTCCTTTTCCTGCTATCATTGAGCTATAGAGTTGGCAGCCAGGAATGCTGTATGGTTCTGAAACTAGATGGCTGTGTGTTGGGTATCAGGAATGTGCACAATGTGTAACCTGAAAATGTCATTGTGCTCCGTGGGATTGCTTTGGGTTTGAGACCTAACAGATGATGATAAATGTATTATACATTGAAGTCTAAACCACCTGCCTGACAATCTCACACTTGGGTAGGAATATCTGTTATTGACTCTGCCACAATATGAACTATGGAAAATACTCCCCTAGTGCATGCTAAGAAGATAAGTGGATAGTTTTCTCTAGAGTCTACAGAGAAGAGAGAAATGTGGTTACCACTTGTAACTCACACAATGTTAATGGGGTAAAGGAAACATGACAATTAACAGTTCATTGTCTTCCGTTCAAGATGACCCAAACTTCATACATTTTTATTATGTCTTTTTGTTTCATGTCTGGGAACAACTTAGTTTGGTAACTTCATGTATGGTGAGAGAGTTTTGGGAAAACTATGATAGCATATTTTTAAAAAATATAAGTAGTAACAGATGTCTAGCAATTTAACCCATAGAAGGAAAATTCAAGGTCTAAAAAAAAGGAAAAGGAAAAAAAAAATCACATAATCTTTTCCTTTGCAAATAGGACAGACACTGTGGAATCAGCCCAAGACATCTTCTGGAAACAAGCAGACTTTGGGTATACCAGGGAGCGGCTGGAGGAGATGCATGTGCTCTGTCAGCCAAAGAAGATGGTGGGTGTTCAGTTCCTTCATAAGCAAGACTTTTTATTTCATTACTTACTATTTACGATTTATCTTTTGTTTAGATTATAACATTAAAAACAAGATAGATGGCAATATGAAAGGAATCTGCACTTTTCACTCATTTGGCTCACAGTTTTATTCAACATCCCCAACTAGGTAGTTCTGCTTACTTTGGAAGCCCTATTTTTCTCCCACATACAGCTTTGAGTCACAATTTGATACTGTTAAATATTTTTAGGTTTAGAATTCCCCCACTCCAACATAGGCTGAAGAAGGGAAATGGGTAAATTGTGTCTTTACAAATCTTTTGCTTGCTTTGGACAGATGATATGCCCCAACCATACTGTTTATGTTTGCTTAGAGTTTTACAGTTTGCAATATGCTTTTCTTTATGTTGTCTAGTTTCTCATAGTACTGTAGCAGGTAAGCAGAGAAGATATGCTGATGCCACTTTTCTAGAACAGAAAACAGGTTCTCAGAGACATTAAGCAAACTCTCCAAGACAACTGTATTAGTTACTTTTCTCTCATTGCTGAGACAAAATACCCAACCCCCAAGCTAAAGGGGGAAAGGTTTATTTGGCTTATAGTTCGTAGAGGTTTCAGTCCATAATCAACTGACTCCAACGCAGAGTAGGCAACAGCAAAAGCAACAAGGCATCTTTCTGCCCCTTTTATCCCATCCAAACTACTGGGATTAGGGCAGTGCCAAACCAGTCACTCACTCACTCATGTGCAGTGGTTTAGTAATCACATTCCCTTAATCCCAGGCTCATACATTCCAGATTCAGCCTCCTCTGAAAAAGTCTGCATGAGGCTCTGGGGGGACATCTGGACACAAGCCATAACAACTACGTAACTACCTTGTGGAACTACACATCTAGATATAAAAGGCAGATCTTTTTTTTCCCACTGTGCTATCCTCCGTAGCATGTTGCACCCCAGTAGGTAAGAAAAATGTGTGGTCAAGAGGTGGTTTTAGGTAGTAGGTTCAAGAGGAGGCTCTTGACTACAGAGTTAAAATCCTGACTTGGGCAAGGTACTCAAACTTTTTGCGTTCCGATTTCCTTAGCCTTAAAGCTATGAGACAATTTTGTAGCATGCAGGGAGCATGAAGTGAGATTGTGCATATAAAAATGCTCAGTGCAGAGCCTGGCTCCCAGCAGAGGGCTTAATGTTATTTTTGATGGAATTTTAAGCACTTATGATTATGACGTGATATTCCGTAATTTGGTGATCCTGAACTGTAAAGTCTCTGACATCTTAGGGGTCTTTAGTATCTCCAGAAACTCTGTGAAATTAAAAGAAATTAATTCACTTGCATTCAAATCAGAATAAATATATATGTCATCATGATATTGAAAGGTTGGCACATGATAGAGCTATTAGCAATTCTAGCAAAGAAAATAAAATGCAAAGTTGGGAGGTGGAGTGTTAACTAGCACTGCCCCAGCGCCCCTGGAATAGATACTCTGTGTTACTTTGCACACTGTGCTTAGAGTCCAGCTCTTCATGTGGAGAGGGCAAGGAAAGGGCCACAATCATTCTTTGCACACCTCTCTCATGGTGGTTTATAGAATGCTTTCCTGGCCACAGTTTACTTTGATGTGCTGCCAGAATTTGATCCTTGTCTTAGTTTTTTGGGGTGCTATACCAAAATACCAGAGACTTGGTGGCCCATAAACAACAGAAATTTCTCTCTCACTGTTGTGGAGAGTAGGAGCCCAGCTCAAGGTGCCAGCCCAGTCAGGTTCGGGTGAGGGTCCTCTTCTAGACTGCCACCAGCCACCCACCCGCCTCTTGTATCCTCACGTAGTGGAAAGAGGATGAGAGCGCTCTCTATCGTCCCTCTTAGAAAGACACCAATCACATTCCGGAGGGTGCCCCCTCATGCTCTAGTTACCTCCTAACACTGTCACATGGAGAGTTGGCATTTCAACATGTGAATTTTCCAGGGCCAGGCCATAAACAATCAGTCCATTGTAATATTTTACTAACTACAGAGTCCAAAATATCATGCTGGTCAAGATGAAGGCCCTGGGAAGTTTTAGGAACAATAATAAAATAGCATTGCTTCTCTAAATAAAATCCAAAGCAGAAATGTTTTTGAAGCACTTCCTCTTTCAGCACACTCCAGATTGGTTGAAATAGAAACAGGCTCTAGTAGTTGACTGTTCAACTGCTTTGTTCAGTTATTTTGAAGAGATTGGCCTCTGGTTGCTGTTGAGAGAGACTCCTACAAGGTTCATGGGAAACTGCAGAAAGTGCCTCTTACTCATGTTGGCAAACTGCCCTTCCAGCCTTGCATTTGAATGTGTCTAACGTGCATTCTTCTTTGTTTCCTTTGGCTCTGTGCAAAATGCTTTTTCACATAGCTGAGGGTAAGTAATTGTTTCTAGTGCTACTTTTTTTTTTTTTTTAAAGGGGATTGAATTGAACCATATATACAGCTCTTGGCTTTAAAATGTGAGTTGATACAAGTAGAGCATTTGGGAGTTCTTCATTGTAACATGAAAGTGTGGAAACCAAAAATACATTTGGCCAAGTTCTGTTGGGAGGGGAAGAAACCCAGAGACAGTTGCAGTGTGTGGACAGTTTTTCCCATGATATGGTGCACATGCTGTTACCCTGTCTAGCATGTCACAATGTTTTTGGCATTTTTTCCCTGTTGTCAAACTTATTTCAGAGTGACTCAAGCCTGGTATGTTCCCGTTATCTTCAGTATTGCAGAGCAACCCATCTCTACCTTGACTTAAGAAACATCAAGAGAAATCATGACAGGTACTTACATGGTTGATGGTAAACTATAATAGACATTTTGACATATTTTCAGGTCCAGGGCTATGTCTTGGATTTGCTGCCTAGTAAAATGGTTGAGGAGTTAGGGAATAGGTGAGGCATAGTGATCCGGACTGGTCACTCGTTGATCACATCACAAATTAGGATCACAGGTACAATAGCTTCCTTTTAAGAATCCTGCTACTTTTGTATAGATTTTTTTGTTTGTTTCTTTTTTGCAGGGTTGAGGTTTGAACCCAGGGCCTCTTAAGTGCCACGCAAAAACTCTGCCACTGTGCTACGTTCCCAGCCCTACTTTTGTATATGTTTAAAATTTTCTACACTATACAGAGTCTGTCAAAAAATGTATACATACTTCAGGAAAAGAAAAACTTATATAAATATTTTGGGACTAAATTTATTGAGACATCATGAGATTAGTACAAGTTACTTTTGGCCTCTGCAATTACAAGAGGTGCTCAAAGTGGTGGCCATTAGTTTCCAGATATTTATTAGTACAGCTATCTGCTGCTTGGGTAACCTCAGTCCCTGAGATTGCTGCACATGCATTTTCAATTTCTTCCCTAAGGGCCAGCTGTGTAGTGGGTTTTCTGTGATATACGACCTCTTCTAGGGGCTCCCATGTGAGGATAACACCATCTGTTGAAAAAAATATACCATTTTTCTTTTCCTGAAGTGAATACATTTTTTGCCAGACTCTACATTCAAGCCTTGCTTATCAGAGGGGATACATTAGGTAATTTCATTGCTGTGCAAACATTGTAGAGTGTACCCATACAAACTGTTTTTTTTTTTTTTCCAGTAGTGGGGGTTGAACCTAGGGCCTTCTCACTGAGCTACCTCCCCAGCCCTTTTTTTATTTTTTGGTTTAAGAAAAAATATTGCTAAATCACAAAGTTGCACAAGCTAGGCTCAAACTTGCAATCCTCCTGCCTCAGCCTCCCAGAGCACTGGGATTACAGGCATGTGCCACCATACCTGGCTTCACACAACCTTAGACAGCTACAGTGCCACTAAGTGATATAATCTTTAGGGATCACAATCATCTATGTGGTTGGTTGTTGACTGGAACGACATTATGGAGCACATGTCTGTCATTAAATTCCAAAGAAAAGTTGATTTTGGACATTGGTAATCCCATTTAGCTACAACCCATGAGCTGGAGTTGTGAAAAAAATTTTCAAACTCAACTTTTTTTTTAATACATTAGATTCAAGGAAGATTTTCTCCAGAGTGGTGAAATTGGAGGACACTGTAAACTTGACATCCATACATTGATGTCTGAAGGTCAGCGCAAAAGCCCCCTGCAGTCTTGGTAACATGATTTTTTTTTTTAACATACATATCTACATTTGCTTTTAGTTTTTGTCCTTGCAGATTTTGGCAGGGACTCCAAAATGAAAAATGTTCTTATGTTGCAGGTAATTTTAAGTAAATGTTACTTAATTTGTATAAGCTTCTGAGGAATGGTGGTTACAGGTGAATCCCTCAGTTGGAATTGAATATATTTATAAATTATTAGGAAACAGGATAAAGCACTACTGTTTGCAAATAAAAGGAAAACTCAGTTTAAAATTAATTTTTATTATTTTATAGTTGGTTCATTTGTTTTGGGGAACACTTTCTTAGGAAAAATGAGCATGTATTGTGATACATGAGCATATATAGCAATACCTCGGTTGTCAAATGACCCCACGCTCAAACTTTTTGCTAATTGAATAGCAAAGTTCAAAAAAATCTGCTTGGTGTTTGTAACTTTGTGTGAAAGTCAAACTGAACATCTGACTTTAAAAAGCCCGTATGGGCTGAGAGTGAGTCACACATTGCATCTTGTGGTGGACACAAAAGTGTGATGCTTCAGTCTAAGTGCAAATCTCACCTAGAAAACATATAGTGCTGTGTTAGTGCATTGCAGCACTCATCACTGTGCTTTTTTGTGTGCTTTATTTTTTTATCTTCAGATATTTTATTTCTTTCTTTTTTTTTCCATTAAGTTTATTGGTACATTTTAGGTGTACAATACAGTTACATTCATCATTGGGATCTTGTACCTTTACATAAAGTATCTTGGTTCTTATCTTTTCCTCATTCCCCTGCCCTCCTTTCACCCCTCCACCCTTCCCTATTTACAAAGACTTTGTTTCCATTTTTTCCCTTTTCTCATATTTTTTCTTTCCCCTTCTTTCTTTTCCCCTACCTTTCCCACTTCCACTATTCCTTTAGACCTTTTCTCCCTATTTTACAATATCAATTATACATTTTGATCCTTATTTACACTTTTAGTTTTCACACCAGAGAAACTATTCGGTATTTACACATGTGTGTCCTATTTATTTCACTTAAAAGTGTGGCCTCAATTTGCATTCACTTGACTATAAACGTCTCTAGTTTCTCGTTCTTTATGGCTGAGTAGTACTCCATTTTATAAAAAAACCCCACATTTTCTTTATCCAGTCTCCAGTTGATCGGCAATTGGGCTGTTTCCAAGTTTTAACTATTACAAACTGTCCTGCTATAAACATGGGTGCATATGTATCACTGTGGTATGATTCTTTTAATTCTTTGGGGAAGATCCCCAGCAGGGGAATAGCTGAGTCAAATGGGACTTCTAATCCTAGTTGTTTGAGGTATCTCCATTTTTGGGCTTTATTTGTGTAAAATATTGTAACCATGGCTCAAAAGAAAGTGATGTCAGCAGTAAAGCTAAGAGGAAAACCGAGAATCACAGTAGAGTTAAAAAAGAAATAATTGTTAAAGAAATAAATAAAGAAAGAAAAAATTTGTTAAAGTCCTGGAAAAATGAATATATAAGTATCATTTTTAGACCTCAGAACCAATTATTTTGTTTTCCATTATTTCTTATGGGAAAAATATGTTCAATTCTTGAACTATTCAGTGTTTGAACATGAATTTGGAATGAATTGAGTTCAACAATCAATATCACTATATGTAACAAACATACAAAAGAGAGTATCGTTTGGATTATGAAGAAGTGAACACACCCATGTAACTCTTATCCAGGTCAAAATGCAGAGCATTCCCAGAACCCAGTCTCCTTTCCAGGTCCTACCCTCAACCTCCTCTCTAAAAGCTACTCTGACTTTTTTCACCATTGGTTAGATTTTTGAACTTTAAAACTCTTTATTTTGAATTAGTTTTAGACTTGTGGAAGTCTAAAAATAGTACAGGAAGTTCCCATTGTACCACTACCCCAGCTCCCAGTGAAAATCATCTCTCATATACCCCTAGCACAATGACCAAATCCAGGAAATTACCACTGGCACAATATTACTAACTAAACACAAGTGTGTCTCACCATGTTTAGGTGCAGTCATTTTTTAAAAAATGTATAGTCTATAAAATTTACATCAGATGTCTAGGTCCATGTAGCCACCAACACAATCAGGATAAGGAATTATTCCATCATCCAAAGAAATGCATGTGCCTCCTTTCATAGTCACATAGGCTATTCTTATGTAATGTTAGTTCTGGGGGTCATACATTCATATCGAGCAAACCATTCAGAACAATAACTTTCCTAAGTATAGTGTTTTGCACTGTGCACCAAAGTTTCTCATGTGACTTAATAGATTTTTACAGTGGGTAGTTCCTATATTCTATAGGGCATTTTCTTTCCTAGTATGTCTCGATATCTGATTTTATATCAGAGGTACTGAGGGTATAATTGTATTAGATATTTATTGTTGTGTAACACGTCATTACAGAATATACCTCAAGGGCATATTTGTATTTATTATCTATTGCTGTATAACAAATTACTTCAAAGGGTAATAGCTTGACAGGACAAACATTTAATATCTCACGCAGATTCTGATGGTCACAATTTGGGAACAGCGTAGCTGGGTCTCTCTTGAGGTTGCTGTCAAGTCTTTGGCCAGGGCTGCAGCCTTTCCTAGGCTCAGTTGGACTGGAAAATCTATTTCTAAGCTCACTCTGGTTGTTGGAAGCCTCAGTTCCTCTCTGACCATGGGCAAAGGATTAAGTTTTCACAAAATGGCCTCACCCTTGTGCCACTCACAGCAGGACTCCTGCTTCTTCAAGATGAGCGCCACAGTGTTTTTATAATCTCAAAAGTGATATCGCGTCATTTTTGCTGTGTTCTGTTGTTTTGAGGTGAGCCCCTAAGTTATGCCCGCACCCAAGGAGAGGGAATTAACCTTCACTTCTTGAAAGGAGAAGTGTTAAAGAATTTTCAGACATATTTTTGAAACCACCATGATCTTCTGTCAGTGTGTTTTTATTTAAAAAAAATTTTTTTGGTGCCGGGGATCAAACTCCGGTCCTTGCACTTGCGTAGAAGGCGGTGAAAACACTGAGCTAAATTCCTGGCCCTGTCAGAGTGTTTTTAAAAGAATCTTTTTGGTATTTATTTTACATGAAATGTGATCTCAAAGATAAAGCATTAAAGATGATATTTATGTTAGTTCTAGATATCTCTTGTCAGATGCTTGTGATTGTCTTCAGTTTGGAAGAAAATTGTACGATGTCATTTCCAAAGACATTTTCTGAGAAATAAACTTCTCATTCCTCAGAGATGCTTAGTTGTCTGCTGTCTTTCTGAGTACTAGGTAACTTTTGGAATATCATCTTTCTCAGACTCCAAAGAGGCTGCAGTAAGAACTTCTGTGGTACATTATTCACTTTGAGCCTCATTAAACTACAGGAAACCTTGTTGAAGCTTCCTGTTTCCCTGGTAGATTATTTATACAACTCCAATGTAAGTTTCCTCTTTGTGTGGTAGGTTCCCAATTTCACTGTGTTATATGTGAGATGATTTTATTTTTATTTATTTATTTATTTGGCACCGGGGATTGAACTCAGGTCCTTGCGTTTGAGCAACAGGCGGCGAAACCACTGAGCTAAATCCCTGGCCCGTGAGATGATTTAAAAAAATCTCTTGAATATTAAAGTTTATATGAAATTATATAAATGACAGTAAATTTGAGAAGCCACATGTCTCCATACCAATGCTTTTACATACTAGAAATAAAATTTACCTTTTGAACAGATATATCCTAAGTTATGATAATCACTTTGAAATTATATCCCATTTCATCATTCCAGGTTTGCTGAGCTACAGAGCTATACTCAGCTCAACTTCAGACCTATAGAAGATGCTAAATGTGACATTGTTATTGAAAAACCAACGTATTTCATGAAATTAGATGCAGGTAAGAAGTTAACTTTTCTGTTACTTATATGTTGGTTAATAAGGCATATATAATTTTTATATGTATACAATTTATAGACAGTATATATATAAATTTTCTTCGGCTATTTTAAAAAGTACTGTGACTTAGTGCATAGTAATATGTAGCAAAGTGGATTTGCTTTTTGCTTTCTTCTCTGAAACAGATGAACTAGCTTGAATTTCCTGTTATTTTGTACTTTGGGTATTCTAGAATAAACCTTCACATTTATATCAAATGACTCAATCAAAATCTGAAGATGAAAGAAGGCATGTACATCTTTTAAATTTATCCCCTCTGGTTTCTCTAATCATTTGATTTAAATTGTTTCATTACAATTATTTTTAAATAGAAGGGAGGAAAGAAATGTCCATAACCTTTCCTTCCAAACTCTAATATTATTTCTATGACTAAAGTGTACTTAAAATTCTTTTGAAAGTTATAGGCAGTATAATCTAGGGAAAGAAATGAGAATTATTTTCCATTTATGCCTACAGGCGCCAAGTCTCAGCTTGCAAGCATAACTTTAACTTTGTGAGCTAGTTGCCCTGGAAAGGAGGAACACAGATCATTCTATATCATCTCTCTCATTATGAGAGACGGAGATGACTGTGCTATATCATATCAAAATTCATGAGAGGCTGGGCCTACAGTGAAATATAGAGAGCCCTCTGTCATGAATATTTGAGAATTACCATAATTTATTGATCATAGTTTTAATGTACTCTCCCTTCTGTAGTCATAATTCTTATATTACAAAGTATTAGAGTCAGAAATGAGACAAGTTTAGGATTTTGAAATAAGAGCAAGTAAAAATGCTATGTTCAAGGTTTTGACTCATTTCTTTAAAAATATGCAAATTAAAAAGAGGCAAAGAAAACAGTGATCTGCCTATAAAAGAGGTGAATATGTGTGAGCTGTTAAATTTATGCAGATCGTATGCAATAAAGTAGGTAAAATGAGAATAATAGACTAAAGTGGATGTGCACCTTTTCTTTCCTATATTCATAATTCTCCTTTTTTCTTCTAACTTAGGACGTTGTCCAATTTTCTCTTTTCTTATTAACTCTTACCTTGGGAGAGAGCATTTCTACAGAACAAAGCTCACCAGGGGCACGTTTCTCCACAATAAAGCCTGTGTTTGTGCCCTCGTTTATTAATCCTCGTAGCACCAATCACTATTTTGTACACACTAAGCTCCCCAGTAAATGTTAGGAGCTCGCTAAATGTTACCTGAGAACTAATGTTTGGTGGATGGCTCACCTGGGGGACAGATAGAATTTGATTTTTCTGAAGCTGACAATATGCTTTTTGCCAGATTTTTGTGGCTGAAAGAAATGAGGCCTCCCAAACATTCATCTAAGATAACCAGGCTGAAAAGAACTGAGTATTTTCTACCTTTACTTTCAGACTATTTTATGGTTTCTTTTGGGGGTCACTGTTTTTCCTTTCCTCAACATTTTCCTTCCTTGAAAATGTACATTTTAAAATGGCTGGCATTAGAGTTTACAAATGGTGGCAGCCTCAGCTCTGTCGGCTCTGTCTGACTGTGTGGGGCACAGGTGGCTTCTCACCTGTGCCATACACTGGGTGGCACTTGCGGATGCATCCTCTTTGGCTTTCTTGTGACAAAGCTGGCACTTAGGTTCAACTCCTCTCCATTTTTAGTAGAGACCCCAATGCTTATGGACTTTATGAATTAATCTAGGAGGGTGGCTCATGAGCGACTGAGCTGGAATTCAAGTCAGTTCTGACTCCAGAGTTTATGCTTTTTCTTTTCTTTTCTTTTCTTTTTTGTACTGGGGATCAAACTCGGGTCCTTGCGCTTGCGAGGCAGGCAGCAGAACCACTGAGCTAAATCCCCGGCCCATATGCTTTTTCAATTTGGACATAAGACATTCATCTCTTTTAAATGATGGCTGGTTAGTATTTTCCCAAGAAGAATAGCACGAGCAGTGATTAAATAGGGCCCAAAGAGATAAGAATGAGAATCACCAAACTGTTAGTAGTTGCCATCATACTTACATCAACAATACTTCTGGGAATAGGTGTTGCTTAATTGATTTTTTTTTTAAAAAAGTGATCAAAACGAATAAATAATTTCATGAACCTATTGTCTATTTCATTTTGAGTTAGACCTATGTGGCTTTTTCTGGGAACTTAATTTGTTATTTGGCATGTATGAGAAAACGCATTCCTGATTTCTAAATAATCAGTTTAAAAACTGAATTTTGAATCCAACCCTTTTGTAAGTTGATTGTATTTCTGTGTAGATTATGTTCAGAAAAATTGCTGTTTTCTCTCGTTTATTTCAACTAAAAGTCCATTGAACTGTAAGTAGATGGGATAGAATAAAAATTGTTTAATCACATGTTCTTTGGGGTTAATTAACATAGATTTCTTTTTTCCAATACTAGGTGTTAACATGTATCATCACTTCTGTGATTTTATCAACCTTTATATTACCCAGCATGTTAATAATTCATTCAGTACAGATGTGTACATCGTGATGTGGGACACGGTAAGAGTGTGCTCTCTGCTTCAGCACCATGTTCACCTTGCTTTACCATTGTGTGCCTGTGACCTGGTGAAACAGGAGTGTTGACGACACACACTTAAATATATCCTGTGTGCACACCTGCACATGAGTATGAATGTGTCCGTATGTGTGCATTGACACATATGCACAGAGGCAGATACATACACGCGTGAGTATGTGTGTTCCTTGGTTTTTTGAAATTTGGAATGAAGCAGTGGAAGATTTCTTCCCCTTTTGGTTAGAGGGAGATCTCGTGCTGCACTGTTTGCTTCAGTGTTCCTCCAGGGTGGGACATATGGAGCCTGTCCCTCTCTCACTTCTAGTGTTGGAAGAGCCTCTGTTTAGTTTGACCTCGTGAATTTACTGTTCTATACTGTTCTGTACTGTACTTTCTTTTCCGCACCCCCCCATCCACCACTGAGCTCCAATCCCACCCCTGTGCATAAAAATAGCTTTCTCAACATTATTTGCTTTAGGCCAAATTGACTGCAAGTTTCACCTCACTATGCAGAATGAGTCTTAGACTCACACAGAAGCGCTTTGTTAGATTATGCCTGCTATGTATTTGTTTTTAGTAGTCTTTTTCGCTTTTCCTTTTTTTTATCTGCCTTTCACCTGCTTCTTCCACCTCTGGCCCATCCACCTGGTCAGGTAACCCCAGGGTGGGACCTGGTACCCTCAGTTGTAATGGAATAGAACAGGTACCTCAGTGTCATCTTGCGGATGAACCACAGAGTGTGCAGTCACAGTTTCCCGCACATGGCACATGTGCTCAGAATGTTATCCAACAGCGACAATGATAGTGTACACCATGGAGGTTGCCTACAGCAGGGAGCGGGAACCTGATCTTGGATCATCTAAGGTTCAGCTAAACAGTCTGACTTAAGATACTCCTATGCCCCCTTGGTGTGAGTCAGTCAAGTCGAGATGACATTCATGGGAATGATGAAGGGGCAGCTCTCAGGGGAGTCTTTCTTCCAGGGGAGTCCACAGCACAGCTCAGGTGTAATGGGGCAAGGTCCACCTGAGGCAGGTACAGGAGCTGCTTGATTGAAGAATGCACATCTCGGAGCAGCCACCAATTCCTGGAATAATTACACTGACAAAACCTCAGCATGCCCACAGGAGTCACCCTCAGTTCTAAGAGTCGTATACCGGGGAGGCCTAAACCTGGCTTTCCTACTTCTGCTGCAGTTTATCATTCAAGCATCTTTTAAAATCAGAAGCAACACTGTGTAAAAAAATAGTTGACCTGTGTCATCTTCATTTCTGGAGAGCAGAGATAGCCAGGTAACAAAGATCCTGGTCTCCTAGAAGAAGGGAGAGAGTCTTGCTGTCCCCTTCTTCACCGACTTCTTCACTGTCCCCTTCTTCACTGAGAGCTATGGAGGAAGGTTGTTGTGCTCATGGCTCCAAACACTTCTGGTGTGATGCAGGCTGTGCTGAGAATTGGTTTTGCAGTTTTTGCCATGCTGTTGCTTTCTTCTGTGTCCTTCACATACATTTCTATTTCCATCTTGAGTTCCAGTTTTGCTGACATCATAGTTTTAGAAATGTTGTGTGAGCAAAGGGAATAGCCCTTTCTTTTTTCTCTTTGTTTATGTGCTGCTAGGCCACACTCAAAACAGGTCTTAGAAGCCCTGAATGATTCACTCAGGGCAGTTTTGCCCTTTAAAAAATTATACCTGATGTTATCTCATTTAATACTCATCTCCCTCAGTGGACTAGGGATTTTGTTTGCTGTTTTTGAACTAGGGTTTCTTTTTTTATTAGCTTGTTCTGCAGACAGGACCCTGAGGCCTGAGCAACCAGTGAGTGTCCTGAGATAACACACTGTGCAAGGGATGGAGCCAGGGATTCCAGCCCTGTGCTTGGAAGCCATGATGCATTATAACCTTTCTGTATAGTCCTCCAAAGAACCTGTGAGGTTGACAAAATGTTCATACAGTTTAAAGAAACCTTCTTGTACCTTGTGGTATACTTTTTCACATTTTCCTCAAGTGGACTAAGGTAAACTGAGCCAGCATCTCTACCCCCCACCTGTGTGCCTGCAGGGGTGGAGTAGGATGCCTGGCCTCCTGGAAGATCTAGGAAGCTCAGGTAACTGCACGTGATGTTAGGACAGGCTGACTTTGAGTCTGGTGCAGAGGAGCAGGAAGGATGTGGCCAAGCAGGCTGGTTGGTTGTCCTCAGGCTACCTGCCTCCTCCGTGGATCCATTATAAACCCGTGTTCCTGATCTAAGAGGCTTTTGCAATCCACCCAGTCAGCTTCTCCACCTGGGGAATTCTGCCAGGCTGCTCCAGAATTCTGGCCCAAAGAAGCCTGTAGGTCAGATGGGTATGGTGCTGTGGGGTTGGGCAGTTACTCAGTGTTTCTCTCCCTCCCTTGCTTCAGTATTGGCTATTGAACTCATGGCATTCACTCTGAGCTCCCCCCACCCTTTTAAAAAGTTTGGAGATGGCATCTAGCTAAGTTGCCTTGGCTGGGCTCAAACTTGTGATTCGTCTGCCTCAGTCATAGAGTGCTGGGATTATAGACATATACTACCATGCCTGGCTTTGACTGTTTCTCTATGGTTGGCAAGGTCTTAGGTTAAGCAACAGTGTGACCTGCAGACTGACATGAATACCCCACTGCTGATGGTATGGCCACAGAATCAGTCTTTTTTTCTTTTTTTTTGCACTTTATTAAATTCTTTTATTGGTACATTGTAGGTATATAACACAATTACATTTCTCATTGGGAATTGTACCTTTACATAATGCATCTTGGTTCTTATTTTTTCCCCATTCCTAGCCCTCC